TTGGTAGTAATAGTCGTGTAGACGAGATATCCACCAATGCTATGGGCAATCCCTTTAGGAGTGCCAGTAGACCCCGAGGTGTATCTAAAAAGTGCTCTCACTGAGATTCGAACCGGGGACCTTGGGTAACTCACAACATGAATAACAGGTCTTCCGAATCCATCTCAACAGGTGGACAATAAGGTCTCTGAGCTGCCATCAACTCGAAACCATCAACATCTCTTGACGGGTCCTAACATGAAAAGCACTACAAATACACGCAACCGAAAATGAAAAGAAAACATCACTGACTAATTCCAGAGTGTCACTAATTCTCCGACCAGGTTGACCACCTCCCATCATCGTTATTACCCATTTCCCTTCCATGCCAGGTTTGCTATAATGCTTGAAAACTACAACGCTCTGTACCAACCCAGGGCGAACTTCCTGCACCGCTTCATCACAGATGTCTTTTATCAGAATCTTCTTGCCTCCTCTAACACCGATATCAGCACATACGACCACAGCACTTTGGGCATCGTTGATTCTGTCCCTCAGGCTTGGAGCAGAAAACCCAGCGAAAACCACACTGTGCAAAGCACCTACAAAAGTAACAAGTAGATCTCAACAGTTATAACACATGCTATAACACCACGGGGAAATATCAAGATGAAACTCAAAAGAAATTTGGGAAAATTCTTCCTTTTTTCGAAAACTTCAACCTGAAGTCGCGTAAAAAATTGCATAATGTAGTGAGTGAAATTAACTCACAACATTATGTAACTTTCACCCCGTAAACTCCTGCATAGTAAAACGTACCAATGCGGGCACAAGCTAACATCATCATAGGTAGTTCTGGTATCATAGGCATGTAAATGGTAACTCTGTCGCCCTTTTTAACACCCAAACTGAGTAACATATTAGACATTCGGCAGACCTGCAAGAGAGACCTCATCATCATCAGAGTAGTGTTATCAAGCTACATTGTCTAGGAGCTGTTTATATGTGATGACCCTGTCAGTGCCGGGCTCATCGCCTTCCCATAATATTGCCGCTCGAGACGGATAAGTAGCCGCCCATCTATCAACACAGTTCACAGTGGCATTGAGCTTCCCATTTAGGAACCAGCGCACGTCACCGGTTTTGAAGTCCTCGTAGTGAACTGTATCAAAAGGTCTGAAGGAGAACAATCATTCGCCGACTTGATAACCGTCTCTACCACTTTTACACTATAGTTTTATAGGAATAGAATTGGCTGTGTAAAATTAGAATCAGTTAGACAAGCACAGTGCAAGGATATGTACGTCAAAAGATGGTATGGAGTACTTACATACTACACTGTGCTGGGCTATGCGTGCGATTCGCTCAAAATTTGAAATGTGAAATCGAGCATAGGCTACTCTTCGACGACATAGGTAATAGGAATGATCGTATACGTGACGATTAGTCGCTACCTACCTCATCCAATCAATACTACGACTCATTTCAGTCCAGAAAGCGTCTGGGTCATTCAGGCTTCTCTGATACATGTCATTGTACATCTTATCAGAGTAAACATAACAACCTCGCATGACCTCACGCGAGGGGGTATAGACCTCATCGACTGGCAAACCTAAAGGAGATGACGATACGAGACGAGTGACCGACCAAACTTTACCTTTTTCGGCGATCTTTTCCTCAGCTGATAGGGTTGCAGATTCGAATTCTGTCATTGGGGTGATTAATAATAACAACTACCCATTGATAGTAATCACCGAGACAATGGAGTTAAGTGAGTATAAGTAAGCATCAAACGCAAGAGCTGAGGTATAGCAAATAGAAAGTATACCATAACAAAAGCGTCTCCAGCAAAACTAAGTGTAGTTATCATTCAGAATAGGTTGGGCGACTTCATCATTACAACTGTAGGATCCCGTACGACAAGTTGATAGCAGTATCGTTCCCTGCTATAGAAGGACAAATAGTAGATCGGAAAAACACCACGACACAGGGATTCACATATGTATGCTAATGGACTAACACAAGCTAACATAGTATATGAGATTACTAATAGGGCGTCGACTAGTTCATAGCCTCGTGCTGCTAGCATTCCCTACGCCCCCTCCCTACGGCGTGACGCGAGCCACTCACTACTCAACGTCACGTCGCCACGTGAAGGGTGACAGCCGTATGCTGGGCTCTTCACAAACTAGCGTCTTTTCCAACCAACAGTCCTACTAGTAATACTAGTCTACTGTCATAACCGTCAAAGCTGACAATGACGACAACAGTTCGACACAGCCCACCGCTAAGATGCCAATGAGTGCCGCTAAAGCGACCCTATTCCGCGCTAGAACGCTGAAAAGTGAACTTATTTTATCCCTTACCGTTCTTTTCTCGTTTCTTGGATGATTCGCTCGTATCGTGTACTAATATAAGAGGTTCAGCATTTCGAGGATTCAAGTCTAACGGAAAATGCCCTACGTAAATCATGATTAGTGGCGCGGGTGGTGTTGGAATATGTGCGATTTTCCCAGCCGTGCTCGGGAGTTTCTTCAAATATAAGAATTCGGATGGAAGTGTACAGACATACATGTGTAAGAACAACAAGAACTTCCTCAGCATTATCATACGCAGTTGACCATCTGCATATTTCCCTGCATTGATCAGTGCTCATCGTACATTGAGGCGGAGCAGTTAACAGTGATAGATTACGGCACTCCCTCTTCCCCTCCACACGCATGAGCGGAGCGAAGCGATTTGTGGAGGCACAATTTGAGTCTTATCTACGGACGCTTCTTTTTAGCATTGCTGGAGATTCTCCTTTAATGGGAGTGCATCAGTAAGGTTTACTCGCAGGAAAACGTTCAGCGGATTGTGCTATAATGCTAGTTACCTTCATTTTCCATTTATTACTATAGTAACTATAGTAGTACAGATGCGCAAATCTGCATACATCCCTCGACTGATACGACTGAAGAGACAACACAAGCAGCAGAGTGTAAGCACAGATACGATGTCAATGTGAGAGTGCATCATACACACTGTCGCGTAGTCACATACTCAACGAAGTAATGGAGCTAGCTCGAGGAGTTAATTAGGTTACTGCATGTACAGTGCGGCGGCCGATTTCGATAATAACTGTAGCCACCATCCGTGATGTGTATACTGTGGATCGTCTACGCGACTACAGGAGAGCAGCCAAACAAGGGGAGCAATAGTTTAGCTCCAACATAAACATGATAGGAGTTAATTAGCTTTTACACGATGTGTTGGTGCTTCACAGCGACACAATTGTCGACTCTAAGGCCTGGAAGAATCGTGCAAGACGAGCTCTGAATCTGGCGTCTGGCTGTGGTACGAAGCCCTGGCTACTCCCAGGAGATATCCTTTGGTTTAGTTGAGGCCTCGGTGTCACCAATCGCTGTCGCCCTTGCCGATTGTGGCCAACTCGAGAAGGAGCATCTTGTGGTGAGAAGTACTTGGTGTTGATGACAGGACTAAAGCTAACCCCGCTCGTATTGCTGCTAGTCGAACGAGATCGTATTGTAAACGTGTCACCACCACATCGGGGAGTTGCCGTGCTGTCCTCAACAGGCCCCATGGCGAGACCAATGAAAAACTGCAGGGGGACGAGGTACTCACGAGCATCCAGTGCTGGAGAATATGATCGCTTTCTTCAACGTAGCTCAGGAGTTTCCTCAATAATACAACAAATTCAGATATGAGTGTACAAGAACCAACAATGATTTTTCAAAATTTCTCACAATTTTCATGATGTCACTAACACACGACTGAGTGCATACATTTTCCAACACTGCAAGCACCCCTCACTTGCTGCCATGCAACGCTATAGGTGATAATACACAGTTGAGACTGAAATTAGAGAACACAAGTAGACCCGCAATAAGGGAAATGATCAGTGTTTCAATGTTGGTACATGCCTAGGTGAAGTCGGAACACCCGAACCAGGCCGACTGTTGTTCCACGGTGGACTCACTCTCTCCCTTAATGCCGATACACGCTTTGACCGACGATCTGCCAACCGCAAGGCATAGCGAGTAGCTTCCTAAAGAGAACAACATGATGGTGATGTGGCAAGATACACACAAAGTCAACAACGCGGATTGATGACAATGAGCAACTCGCGGAACATTTTTGTGGCTTCTGATCCACGTCTAACCCAAGTCGTAAAGTTTTATCATCAGCTTAGGAGTGCTATCAGTACATTATGATGGTAGTCGTGCAACAAGTACTAAACTCATGCCTCCTAAGCTGAGGAAACTTGGCGCTGACCTCAGATTCGTTCCCCTCAGTCGGGAGCTTTCTCCGTAGTCGCTCGATTTCCACGTAGGCTTTCCCAAGTTCAGCTTTACAGTCCTCGAGCTCTGCCGAGGACCGCTTCTTCTCGCGAGCCTCTCCAATGCGCTCCATATTGATGGTCCTCTCACGGTCGATCCTGCCAACCCACTGAATGAGGTTTACACTCGAGAGCAGCTACATGTAGCTCAGCCGCTCATTGAGACCCTTTATGATTGCATCACGAGACTCCAAGGCCTTCAATAGGACCTCCTTACGGACCGAGGCTAGCCCTTCTCTCTGATCAACCTCAACAGCAGCAGCAGACTGTACCTTCCGGTCAACACTATGCAAACACACTGTGCAAACCTGTCAGGTTTGCATACAGACTAATGCTGGAGAAAGGGCTCCCCTATTATTCTGAGCGACCCCATTGGTGAAAGTGTCGAGTTCCAGAAGGGAAATGACTCCTTCTCAGATTCCACATCGTCACCATGCTATCACATATACTCCCTCACTTTGATTTCAGCGCCCGCTTTTTCGTCGTCTTCTTTTTCCAAGTTCAATATAATATCTCGTTCGCGCATTTCATTTCGGAGGTGCTGCAGTTCCAATGACTGCTGACGAACTTTCTCATCTCTTTCTCTCAAGGACTGGGTCTGGAGGGAAGCATTCTAATAAATTCAATTCAACAACCGCCGTCAGAAGAAAAAACAGCGTTACTGGGGTTCGAACCTGGGACCTCTCACCATTGCCCTTATGTATTTCTCAGATCGTGCAGCCCTTTCCTCAGCAGCTCTAATCCTATCAGCATGGACAGCCTCCCCCTGTCTAACATCACTCAGTTTCACCTGTCACTGGTGATCGCCTCAATACACCACGTGTCATCTTTTACTTCCATTCGTCGTAGAGATACTCGTAACTCCTCAGCCTCGCGTGCCTTCATCTCAAGTTCTCTATACCGCACCTCGTGCATTCTATTGCATTTCTTGAGTGCATTGGCGTTCTTTCGATCCATAGTCTCCACAGAACGCTGTAGGGCCTAGGTACTCAACCATTATTCATTTGAATGCTAAGCCGTCCTTCGTTCAAGACGGCGCTAGAGTATTCGACAACAACAACAGCAACAACAACAACAACAACACTGGTGACCCGACGTTTACACCCATCCTGCTGAGCTGCTTCTCCTGATCAGCTATCTTCTCCCTGAGCTCCGCTATCCACGAACTTTGCATAGATATCTGCAATTCCACTCGAAGGACAGCTGGCACTTTTTCAGACCACCGCGAAAATGTGCACATGGTCAACTATGTGTGTTGGTGATAATATGGAAATGCTGAAGGAATTCTCATTAGTTTCTGTACACTCGACCAGGATCGGTATCGGTGAGGAAACTCCTCAGCTCAGTTGAGGAAATCGATAACATATTCCAAGTTGGAATAGGTTGGAATTTCCAACCGAGCGGATGCCAGACGGCTAAGGACTTCCACAGTCGCTGTTGCAACGAAGTGAACATGAACAAGCTCTTGACATCCCATAGACAGGACAGTGAGTATGATAGTTGGTGAAACGAATCATATTCGAGTACCCTACTCAACGTGTAGGTGTATCTTACTTGATCGAGGAGCGCCACCTGGCCATCCTCCAGTCTCGCGTTCAATTCCAGGAGGAGACTACTTTCTACCACAGGGGCCTGCATGCTACCGATCTCAACCTGCGTGACCGACTCTCGCCACTAAAACCAGTGTGTTGTAGACTTCACAGAGTGTTGTAAAATCAAGCGCACCAATAAGCTGAAGACTCTGTGCAGTTCTGCGCAATTATGAATCCTTGGCCTAGCCTGATGCTAATTTATGATCCTGCAAGAACTGTCATGAATAGATTTTCATAATTTCACTAATCGTTAATTTGAGTCGTAAACTAGTGAACTCCTTAGTACGTCGGCTACCTCTTTATGTGATTTCCCCTCAGACATTGCATAAGAACCTAGCTGAACTGTAACATCCAATACTAAAGTCAACATTATAGTCGTGCAAAACGTTGGAGTGCTGCGTCAATCGGCATGCTGAATGCATCGTCACTTCCTATCACTCACGTAAGGCTCAGAGACCTGAGTTTCTCGCTACAGTGCCGCACAAGAGTTATTATAAGAGGACGACTAAAAGGACCATCGGCGGCTTAATACTGACAATAGAAGTTCTCCACATACCACTCCAAGGGGAATTGTGCTCACTTCATAACTACCACCATCCAACGTCCCACACCAGACTTCAAAATGGTCTGGTAATAGGAATAGGGGGAAAATTGTGAAGAGGGAAAAATCGCACGCAAGCCGATTTTTTCCATCTACTGAAGATGAATGAATAAAGTCCAATTCCGAGCGTATTGTGTTGAGTGTTTTGAGCGGTCCCATGAGACTGAATCAGCAATCAACTTGAGCACTTAGCCGAAAACAGATACTGCCGAGTGGACAACAATATGGACAAGTTCACCTTACCATTGGGACCTCAGCTCTTATGAGAACTGACCTAATGCTGGATATGAGTGAACAATACCATTAAAATGGAATCATAAGTATAAACTATAAACTCAGAGCATGAGGACCACCGAGGGAGAAGTCTGATGAGGAGTGTAAACTGGTAAGCGTGAACAGCTTCGAATATCATCCTCGGTTGAAGGGGTATCTTAACGCGATTTCCTGAAACAGCAAACCCTACCATCATAGGATTGAGGAGACTACAAACCACGGGGCGTTGCTCAACGACCGACTCTATCACGTATTGGAATGGTAAGTCGTAAATTCATCAGAGCTTATATATCGCCTGTATCCGCAGCTATACTCGTGGGGGAAATAACTCGGTCGTACTAAGTCGACCTTAGCGTTAGAAGGAGTTTTCTCTTCCTGGCTGATTCATTCGCGACACGAGCTCTCCTCTAAATGTTACGTAAGATTGCCGACGGAAGCCCCGGGGATTTTACGACATACAGTATGCTATCATCAGGAAGATTCCAATACAATATAGTCATCATAGTGTTGGTGGATAGTTCATCTCTATTCTTCGCCAATTCGGCGTCACTACATCTTCAACTGAGCATTGATCCTCGTTAATGCTCAGTTGAAAATGTGTACGCATAAACATAATTAGAAACAGTAGTGACGCCGAATCGACCTCACGATGCGCACAATATGAAACTCGAACAATAGAGATCAACTATTGACTAACATAGGAATTGACACAATGCTCCTGCTGCTGTTCACAACAACACATACCTAGCTCCAGTGCTCGAGACGCAGCGTCGCCTGCGTGTGAGTATCTCAGGTCCAGGGGAGAAGGGGGTGGGCGATCCGTTAGTGCTAGGCCCAGTAGACACAGAGAAAGCGTCAACCGACACAGAGCGGGCTGAACGCAACCAATAGATGCAAACCGTAAATCGAAGCGCACTTACGTTTAGTGGTATTTCCTTGAACAGCAACCGACAGTCTTCGTGGCACTCCACAACTGCTTTGAAGGGCCGCCAGTGCAGCTACGGTTGAACGAGCAGTACTGCTGTTAGACGCTAGCTCAAGTACACGAGACTGGATATGAGTACGGCGAACCACAGCGAAACGATGGGAAAAGGCCGCCACCTGAAATCCATTTTCCAATTTTCTGCTTTTATTACAACTCCTGTCAAGTCGACTACTAACCTTATGGGACTCCTGGCCGTATTGTTGTGCCCATTGAGCTACTTTCATATCATCATCGATATCAACACCATCGTCTTTGGCCCAGGCCATAATGCATCGCTCCGCCTCAGAAAGTGCAGTTGACGGCGATAAGGTTACATATCTAATACACATACAACGATCGACGTCCGAACGTCAGAGTTCGATATGCACTATCTCCACGGTTGTACTGTGTATATTCTAATTGCTGATCGATACTACACCACCCCTTATCTATGCCCTTCACAATGAAGGGCTATGGATGAAGCCAGGCTTGAAATCATACGACTTAGGTATACGCTCCACAGTTTCCTTTACTCAAACAATAGACGAGATTCAAGGTAAAGCCGAGATAATTCTTGCGCGGAAACAAGCTACTGAACCATGCGACAGAACCAACACTCTCACTATTCCCCAAGGCAACAGTCCCTACTGACATCATCATCATCACGATGAGCCCAAACTTGCTGTATTCACTGCAACAACAGTCTTACCTCCTCCTGAGGGCATAAACAGCCATCCGCCGTTGGAATGACCAATAGATCCTCATCCTCGTCTCAGTGAAAGGCAACACATCCTGGATAACGCCCTTCTTAACAGCTCTATATGGCGTATCTTGCAGCTCTGCAAACTTCAATGCCACCTAAACTTGGTATCTTAACTATGATGACGCTACTCTTAACGACGTACCCTCTTGTAATCGGGCATGAGCTCATCGACACGTTTTACTATCAATGACTGCAGGGAAAGCTTCTCATCCGCTGATTCTGATTCATCAATCTAAAGCAGTCACCATCACCATAGCAACAACAGTAATAACATCTACACCACAGTGAGTTTGATAGACAAATCATAACACGTGGCCTTATTTGGGATTTTCACAAGTAAATCGCAAAGAAAAGTGTGCCGCTGTAGTTTGAAACCCAGGGCAGTTGATTCACATAACTGTATATTCTCACCGAAGAGTTTCAGGCTAGGACGATGATGACCACCAAGAACTGACGAAACATGATAAACCGTTTGTTCGTAGCAACATTAATCCCTTTCTCCATAAAGATTGTTGTATATGTGATCAACAACTACCTGTCTTTGCCACTCAATGATTTGCTCGTCCAGTCGTTTTATCGTCTGAGTGACCTCGCGGTTATCTCGGAATTTAACTTTACAAAACCCCGCCGGTTCAATGATGTTCATCTTAGACGTAGGGTCGGCGAAAACCTGGGAAAATGTTCGCACTCAGATTAGAACCCGGGCCAACTTCATCAAATAATCCGACCCGACCGCATAACGATTACACCATTACTACCACAATATTATTAGGAGCGATCTGCTTGTCAATGACGACCCAAGAGCCTCCTCTGAGTTCTCCAAATGGTGGAATATAAGTAAGCACGCTAACATCATGAGCTTCACAGGCCACCAAAGCATCGACAATACGCGATCCCTCTTTCAGTATCTCCTTGTACCTACACAGTAAAACAATAACCCCACATCACACTGCTGATACTAATCCTACATATCCCGCATACCGCCTGAGAAACCTCTCCAATTAGCCACGATAAGAATTGCCTTCAATCCCTCTTGAGCAAAGTCTCTGAGGGAACAAGACAATTCGATCGACTTCCACAGAAAATACAATACTGTTTATCGAAGTTCCACTTGTTTTACATATCACATGGAAAACGGACCACGAGTTTAACGCGTTATTCACTGCTCAAGTGCAGAGTAGAATGTGAACGGATGAAACTTCATTATATTGTGTGGCGGCCACCACTAGCTCCACTGTGATTTCGTTACTGTGCAATATCGATATCCTACGAGTTCACCTGAGAGCCTCATAAGTCTTCCTCGCCGAATCAGGGAACCACACCTGGCCTGCCTCCGACACTGAATTGGGTGGGAACTCGCACTGAGAGGTAGAAGAGTTGAAATAGCTCAATAACGACTTGATGATAATAATACATCGATTGGTTTCCCTTCCTCATCTAGATGTTTGGTAGTGGTCCTGTTCTCGGACAAGACTACGCCAACTGGGATACCTAGCAAGATTCCATCACATGAACAACTTCAAATATATATCGCTAAATGAGAACTCATTTAACACCATTATAGCACCATGAAGGTCTTTCTACACTTACTCATTTGGTAACATTAAAACGTCAGTTCTCTGTTACGAAGACACAATACCTACCTCCTAAACGGCCTCTACCAACCACAGCAGCCTTGGCGAATCCTGCTCTGAACTCAGTGAATGTGCCCACGTCCAGAATACCCGGTTCAAGACCATGCAGAGTCGGCCGGCCAGCACAGAGCCATCGGGGATCGTGATTCATACCAGGCTGGAACAAGATGGTTATCAGGCAACTCTACTCATTTTAAATTTCCGAAAATGCCCCATGCGAGGCCCTGTCGTCATTGCTACTATACTGAGCACGGGTTAAGTCAGAAATTCATATGAGCTACAACGCATGCATTTCACAGTCCCATAAACGACATGATAAATTTGAAAAGTTTCCCATAACTTTTCCACTTACAACATATTTGATTTCCCGTTCAATAGGATCGATATTCTCAAGAGCCTCTTGTCGCATCCCCGCAGTTGTTGAAGTGATGACCAACTCCAAGTATCCAAGAATTCGTTCAAATCCTTCCTGTTCTGCTTTAACTCTCCAATATACATCACCAGCGCCCGAGAGGTGAGCTGCATCTAGACTTTTACATGCGCCTGGATAAAATAGAATCGCATATGTACATTGGAGGTTCACCCGATCTACGCGAAGTGGTGTAATACTCCATGTGAAAAACGCGATATAATGTGAATTGACCCGGAAAAATTACAAAAACACATGCGCGTTTTTCGCTAGTGTTTTTCACATCACGAGTAGAGCTCTATTACCTCCTTCAGCGATGCTTGATAGGGACTCAACAGAGTAGGCGCAGTCCGGGACATCCACCAAAACAACCTGCAAATTTATTATCATCAATTTCACCATCACTCGAGTAGTAACTTACCCGTCTCAACGCCCCACACAGGAGAGCATTAGACCCTCTGGCACCTGTACCGCTTATGAGCGATATCGTGGGTAGACACTTTGCTGCGTTCGAGGCCGCCGCCAGGAAGGGAGCTGAGTTATGCACGTGAGATCGTGGGAGCCGCCTCGAGGTGAGTCGGGCACACAGAGGAGACAATAATAATATTTCTACTCAAGTTCAGCGAGAGACTCGTTTCGTAATCTGTGTGCTGCCAGAGCATGATTTTTATAACACATTCAAAACCGCCGTAATAAAATTCTAATGATCGAACTACCATGGGCGATCCGCTACAAAATTAAACCTGCATTATGTCATCGTCATACTTCGCTTTACTTACCAATAATCCCACTATTCTTGCGAGAACGCTGCGATGCGTTGGTATTAGATCCCATAACCACGTTAACGAAAGGTGTCTTATGCTCCTGAGCCAGCTGCAAAATCTGGCATCTGAGGAAGGCGTTACAATATTCCACTTCAACGAGCGCCAACTCACAGGTTCATTTGCCTTGTACGGCTGGTGTCCAGTGAGCGAGTTTCCATTGACATGTAGAAGAAAACGGGTTCAATACTCGTAGGGACTCTCGCGGTCACTCGAAAAATTGCAAGGCCGGAAAATGAGGACGACGTGTGTTCAACTACAAGAAGCAAGACTGCAGCGAACGACAGCACTGCTGTACTCACACGTATAGGAGCCTTCGGCATACTGTAAACGTTTGGAGGAAACCTCATTAGAAGCCGTTGTGGGAAAACTGAGTTCCTCTATCTGAAAAAAATTACACCCATGTGCGATGATAGTTAACTTTCTCATAAAATCCAATTTGAAGACTTCTGTTTTGATCTAGTGTGAAGCAGTAGACATGCACGTGGTCACTAACGCATACTGATGACAATTCTGATGAAATTCGTAGATTTTCCTCGCCGTTTTTTTGCACACTTTTACCCCAATTCATGCATAGAACTCCGTGATGCAATGAGGAAACTCCTGAGCTAATGAGAGCAAATATATTCCGATACAGTTCTATCACGGATGGCTTAAAAACGAGCAGTGTTGTGATATATGTTCGCTTTCCTCACCTGACCCTAGAAGTTTCCTCGCTAATTATACACGTTTATATACAAATAGGTAGACAGAAACCAACCAGAATTTCCCAAAATTTTCATACTGTCACCAACATATGTTGTTGACCATGTGCATATTTCTCCACACTGAAAGTGACATACACCGTATTGAAGCTCACCATGACGTAGGACTCATTGAAAGGCTTCTCGGCTCTCCTCTGCCACTGTAATGCGACAGCATCCCGTAGCGCCACTAGAGCTCTGTTCACTTCTTCCATTCTACTGTTGCAGCAGCCTATGAATTGGAGACAACCAAAGTGAGCAGCAAAGACATTAGGGCGTGCGCTAAAATAAACACTTTAGCGCTCGCCCTAGTCGTTATAGCTCCCAGGCTGGGAGTCCCAGCTGTTGGTTCTATCCTTCAGAAGTTCATTGATCTCCTTTGAGTGTCTCAAACGTCAATCACCTTGAATGCTGTCTGTTAGAGTAGTGGTGATTCTTAAACAGTGGCGTTACATTAACCTCGTTGGCATTACAGTGGTCTGAGCTCACAGTGCCTAGGGCATCCGGTTATCATCGAAATAACACTTCTACTGTGCATAATGCATTGATAGCTTGTTTGGGTCATGTGTGCTTGCTAATGCTCTTGACTCATTTCCCAATGCTATACCTATTACTGAGAGAGTTAGCTGAACGATCGTTGGAGTACGATGTCCAGTGTTACACTTCGGTTACATTCTCTGTGTGTGTCAATGTCGGATTGGAGTTAAACACATATAAAATATTCGGTTTCTCATTCGCATAGTCTACTTCGCGTCGCAATATTAGGCGACCAACATCTCGCATGTATTAGTTGTTTCTAGCTCAGTAACCGGTTTCAACTTCGGCCCGGCTCCAATGATCTCATTGTCAACGATCATAGTCCTATGGTCTGCCGTCATAGTAGTGTTCGCAGCGGTCACTGATCCTACTGCTGCCCGACACGAGTTTCTTAGGAACGGCACCGTTGAGGTCGATACTCGCAGCTAGCCAATCATCGATTCCCCACAACTCAGATATTAGAATACCAAGCACTACCAGGATACAAAGCTAATGATGAAATAGAGATATACTTTGGTGAATATCGAATAGCATGTGAGGACACTAAGCGATGATTTCCCTTCCTTATTTCTCTATCCTCTCCATCAGCATGGTTCGTATCGATGGCACCATGGAACATCTACCATGGTGGCCTTCAGTTCAGATGTAGGAGGACCAATTACACGTGAGGGTCTATAAGGCATTCTAATGAGAGTGAGGTGTGGTAGGTATACTATAGATTATAATGCCAAGTTTGATTTCAATATTACACACTTTCTCGTGCCAACAGAACAATACCAAGGCGATACCGATGAGGACGGCTTCCCAACAGGCATGTCCCTCGAACATTGCATCAAGCAAACCCGGTCAGATCACATGAATGCCTAGGTTCAGAGGTTCTTAAAGCAATCCGAACTCTAGCTGGTGGTGCTCACGAGGATTTGGACAACGAGATTAAGAACATGACGAAATTCGAATATGGTTGGAGTGTTATCAAAGCTCTTAGAATGGCTCTATCGGGTAGTGAGCTATGTCGAGAATCAATGCACAATACGTCAATGACACACCGTAACACATCGGACTACTCGTAATACGCTCACAGCATTATGAATGAACAGCGTATATGTCATTCAGAACAATACTACGGAATAAGTATCGCAGTCGTATTGCATGAGATTGCCCAACTCGTCTACCCACTCCTTTCGCAGGTGATATGATACCCGGCCTTGAGTGGCGTAACTTTGGTATATTGAGACTCAGAGATTTCTGGCCAGATGAGTACACCAACCGCACCAAAGTCGTCTTCACCCTAATTGCTGGTTGATGCAAGAGTCCTCAGGTTGGCGTCATGACCGGTGAGCAGTTTGACGAGCTGAAGCGTTGGTTCGTTGAGGACTGGGCTAGATCCAGAGACACCTTTGATCCTATCACTATCATCAATGCCGATACAGGGGGTCGCATTTGGATGAGCCGTATGTGCCATGATCTGGTCGAGTACGGTTTCAAGAGGTTGGCCGAGATGAAAGTGAACACACCTCCAAATGGAAGCCTTTTAACACTTGCACAATATCATGTCCCCCACGGGTCAATGCTTGAGAATTTGAGTTTGTCCTCTTTCTTCAAGCAACAGAGTGTAATCAGCCTCAGCGAAATGATCGTTGTCTAGGTCCCACTACGGCCGGAAAGACCACTGCTAAGAGACCACATCACAGTGTATATAAAACCCGGCTCTTTGAAGCCTCTAGATGTTCGATCTAACGCATTCAACCGGAGAGCGGTGGCGCGCTTCATGCGAGTTTACCTCTCATTCATACCCAAGCTCAGAGACCAGTTCATTCATGCCCGTGATCTGCTCAGAAAAGTATTCATATGATGAATTTCGTGGCGCGTGAAGTTTCTCTGCTATAGATTATTGCCATGGACCTCGTGCCAGTGGGCTACCTCATGGGGCAATACTATGAGGCTGAGGTCGTGTCTCCTCTCGTGAACTACTGCTATGTGCCATTGCGTATGCCCCGTACACTGGCGAACGGCACTGTTGTTTTTGGCCAAGTTGATGCCATGAATAACAACCGTTCACTGTGCGCGTTGAAGAACAGCGATGTGGTGAGCAGTATTGGTATATATGTTCGCCTTCCTAAGCTGAGCGTAGGAGTTCCCTCGCTAGTTGTAGAAGCTTACATACGAATTCGGGTACAAGTGTACATAAAGCGATGCGAATTTCCCCGAACTCCCTCAGAATTTTCATATTGTCATCAACACATGTAGTTGACCATGTGCATATTTTCCCACAGTGGTGGTGAGAACCCTTCGAGTTTCACTTGATACCAATGCTGCTGGTCCGTTACTCAGTTCATCTCAGGAGCTCCACAACGTAACTCTCACAGTTGAGGATCGTCTCATCATGCTTGAGAATTACATCGATGCGTTCTTCAATGCCAGCGAGAGAAGACCTCGTTCCCGCTGGATATTTGCGTGCGTGTCCGGTACACTCCTAAGCCTCCTATTAACCACTGCCCACCTCCTGAACAGACGTTGTTGATGCCTCTAACATTTCTCATCCATGGTGTTGCTCAATCACCCAGTAATCGTAGTTCTCGATAATCAGGTTGCCTCATGCAGTACAACAAATCAGCATTACCGACTCTCGTTACCACCGCATACTTGCATGACGTACTCCTGTGAGGGGACTCCCACAACTCGAACCTCTCGCTTGTTCACTTGAATGTCCTCGATATGAATGATTATTATTCGAGATTTCAATCCCTCACGATTGCCCATGGGTAGATCTGTTCACGAAGTTTTTCAAACTCCCCGTACATACTTTCTCTATACAAGCCAGGATCATGAGCGCGCACCATCCGCGTATTGTTTTCGCGACCAGGGCTTGTTGAAGGTTGATTCACTGCAATGATTCTCACTCGAGTTCTCTCTGTCTGCGTGCCGCTTCTGGAGATTTCGATGGCCGCTAGAGATCCCATTCGACATGAATTCCTCAAAGAGCGAACCATAGAGGTGCAGCCCAGCTCTCCAGTCTCGGCGTCAACCCTCCGCAGATATTGGAGTACGAGCCATCGCCAGCGTATGAGCCTGACGACACCGTAGATATCTATGTTGGAGAATACAAGATTGCTTGTGAGTACAACCCTTCCCATAAACGCATCTTGCACACTGGGAATAATTCAATTCTGTTATTTCTCCATCAGCATGGTTCGTATCGATGGCACCATGGAACATCTACCATGGTGGCCTTCAGTTCAGATGTAGGAGGACCAATTACACGTGAGGGTCTATAAGGCATTCTAATGAGAGTGAGGTGTGGTAGGTATACTATAGATTATAATGCCAAGTTTGATTCAAACATAACGCACTTCCTGGTACCCACCGAGAAGTACGAAGGACATCTCGACGATGACGGTTTCCCTACTGGTACTTGTCATAGCTTCGCAAGATCTTGCATGCACCGGGCTCAGGTCCCGAAGTGATGCAAGCAGTCCGCACTCTGGCTAGCTTGGTGACGAGGGAAACCCCCGACTACAACGAGGACAGCATGAGGAACCTCACCAAATTTGAATTTGGCTGGACGTTCATCAAAGCCCTTAGGATGGCTTTATCAGGCGAGTGCTCTCCTCTAGACCTCGCACGCCTATTGTGTCTTTTCTACAGGGGATATGATTCCTGGTCTGGAATGGCGTAATTTTGGCATATTGCGATTCCGAGATTTCTGGCCCAAAGAGTACAGCACGCGGACGTTGGTGAGTTTTCAGCGGTCACTGTATTGCCAATTGCTACGCTCAGGTTGGCAACATGACTGGTGGTCAATTTGACACCTTCAAGCGATGGTTCTTGGAAGATTGGGCACGTCCAAGGGATACCTTCGATCCTGTTACTGTGATCAAGGTCGACTCAGGCGAGCGAATATGGATGAGCAGAATGTGTCACGATCTGGTTGAGTACGGTCTCAGACAGTTGGTTGAAATGGGAGTAAGAATGTTCACCGACCCTGCATATCTGAGATCAAGTTCATCAGATCCCACTACGATCAACCAAGCCAGTTTTTCGTGATCATATTCCTGTCTATGTGAACTACATCAAACCACTAGACGTTCGAGGCAACGGTTTTGACCGACGTGCCGTTGTGAGGTTCCTTCGTCTCTATATGTCTTTTATACCACAAATGCGCGAACAGTTCATCCATTCAAGAGATATGCTCAGAAAGGTTGGTCAGCGTGGTGAAGGATTTGTTTCTATTTTACCTCAGGCGCTGGCTATGGGCCTCATTCCGGTTGGATACTTCATGGGCAGCTACTATGAGCTCGACATCGTTCCACCTCTCATCAACTATTGTTACATTCCTCTTAAAATGCCTCACCTATTACCGAACGGATCGGCTGTTTTCGGCCCAGTCGACGCGATGAATCCGAATCTTTCACTGTGTGCATTGCCGAATGTTAATGTGGTGAGTCTCCCAGTTACGACGATATATTCTTGGCAATGCTCCCTCAGGAACTGGGCAACGTCACGCTCACGATCGAGGACCGTCTTATTATGCTAGAGAACTATCTGGATCTCCTATTCAATGCTCCTGAGCGACTCCGGCATCCGAAGCATCGTAGCGTTTTTATGATGGTCACAGGAACGATTGTATGCGGCCTCCTCATGATTGTGTACTGGCTGCGAAGTCACAAACCATGACTCGTCATTGATGGCATTCGTTGTATTACATGATCCTATTGTGATCTGCCTCGGCTCCTGGTTTGTGTTTGTGACCTCGTTCGAACAGCAACAGAAGCAATTTCACTATTCAAACGGATTATCATTTACCAAGATGCAGGATGTACCCTTGGTAAAATCTTGAAGATTAATAATGATTCACTATCGTCATGAGTCATAGGCAAAAAACTTGGATACATCGTAGCGAAAGGATGTTGAGGATGAACTACAGAATGTATTGATCATCACTGCAACTACGACAGACCTTCGCACGGCCCTCGTGTAACGGATCTAGCCACATGCGACCACGTATGCTTGCAATGATAGATTATAAGGGTACTCCGTTCGTCTGTCTATACGGCCTCATGAGAGGATGCACCGAGGTACTAGCACGCAATACGTAGCAGCTTCAGCGAACAACAATCTTTTCTTTCAGATAAGACATGGATCCTTCATGAATTGAGAGCTCGCAGTGTTAACTTGTCCACCCCGACATTTCCTTGTCGCCCGGTGGCCTCATGAATTCGCCGCTCTAAGACGAAGGCTCTCCTGAGCTACCCGAGCCTGTTCATAGGCAGCACGTATTTCGTCAAACTCGCAAACCAAGAAGTCATCATTTCTTGTTGGCTCCCGCGGAGGACCTCGGAGCTCGCTCAAGTTCTGGTCATTGCACCTCTCGGCTCACCCAGGCGCTGACTCTTACTCGCCTCGCGGCTGTCTTTATAGAATGTAGAAGCGCTGGTTCCGAACAGCCTCCGTTATGGGTGTAGGCAATGATGTCAACCTTGAACAGCTCTGCGATGCGCTATGCTTCCTCGCCGCATGCGCAACCCGGGCTGCAGTGGTAGCTCGTGGTTCCGAACCATGAAACCGAGCCAGGATTCTCAACCTCAGGTATGCTGTTAGTCGTCCATTAATTGAGTCGCGATCTTATATAGACCACATAGTGCACGTTCTCCAGTGGAGAATCTCCACCCCTGAAATTACCTGGGGAAGCATGAAGCGAAGCGGAAATGCTGGGAGGTGCAAAGTTGCTAGAAGCAGTGTACAACGCTCTGTGCCCTCTAGCTCAGATCCCAGTTGTTGCACTGGGCATCGGTTGTCACTATTAGTAGTTGAATTGTTATTGCATCAATATGTCTACTGTCTTCCTTCGTGTGGGAGAATTGCGGATCTGCTCAACTGTGGAAAACCTGCCATGACGGTGTAGGCGGCATGCTTTGCCCACAGTTTGATGCGTTCTCGCAGATCACGGTTTGTTTCATAGCCCAAGGGAGGGTGCTGTCGTGTTCGACAGCTGGGTGGGATATGTATATATGTGTCTCATCTGCAGAAGCAAAGTTGCAACCGAGAATTTGTTGAACTCAACATAGACGACGGATGGAGTTACTTCATAGACCTCAATGATGATGATATTACTCAACATCATAATACTGGCCGTGGTGACTGAGCTGACTGTGTCAGAAAATCTCATTTGAAAGTCACACACGAATTCGACTACTATGTTGAGCAAAAATATTTGACTAAGTTGAGTATACGCAAGATACCAAAAAAACCCAGATCTTCGGTATCCGCACCGGGCAGGTCTAAAAAAGTCCGTTCAAGTCTATTGTTCACATTACTTCAGTCTACTCGAGTACATAGAAACAAGCCGAGTCCTCGACTACCAGTGAAAATTATTACGAGATGTAAACATCAGGATATACCGCAAAAAATGTCTCACCGAATATCATTAGACAAACGAGCGCCTCCTTCAGAAAAAAACAAACCTTCGAATAACTTAGGATTCTCGGAACCCAGCGCTTATCAAAAAACTCAAACATGTATAGATATCAGCTACTATGGCAGCACTCCCTTGATTTTCGACGACACCGGCAGCTACGGACTCGAGAAGGGCTTGGTGCATCACGCCAGGGGCTTGACAAGCGTTTGGAGTGGTGATGTCCGAGCTGGAATGACTCCTAGGAGTTACAGGGGACAGAGAGGGATGGGATAGAGGCAACCCATTTTGCAAAGGGCTATGAATTTTTAAAGGCTCAAGCGATTCGATACGAAGGCCACGAGTGTTGTTGTTGTTGACAGCTCTGAGAAGTGAGCGGGAAGGTTTTTTGTTGTTCTTATAGACATCACCATGATAGAGAGAGAGCACATAATCGTTATTGGGATCAATCCGATTGGAACCCGCCAGTCTAATGCCGGAGACAACCTCCCCCTGAGAGTGGGCATTGCGACAACCATCACCCAAGTTGCAACCGTGAGCACTGCAGAGGTACTTGCAGAGTCTTTTAATTACGGGCATCGGGGACTTCTCAAGTTCCTTCTCATCATGGGCAAAAGGACAACGACCACGACCACGACAATATCCGGCTTTAGAAGGGCATAGATAAGACTTAGGACGGGCTAATTGATAGGGGGAATGCGCAAAGGGGCACAGGTCGCCGTCCAGACACCCTTGACCGCCCGTGACATTGTACACGCAGAATCGAGAACGAAACCTGAGGAAAGATATGAATAATGGAGAAGCTCATGAGATACTTACCTATGTATAGGGTGGCTTGTAGCAGTAGCAGATTCAGCCCCGAGTGGAGGTGAGCTAAGCAGTCCTGGGGGAGTCAAGGGGGCGGTACTAGCGGACGGCAGAGGGGTGAAATCGAAATGATTCATTAAAATGACAAAAACACTTTTGTCCATGTAGACGCCGTCCTCTGTAGGTGGATACCAGAGCGGCAAGGAGACATTCTCACACGAGGGCTCAGGGATAAGGACGTTCGATACTGAACTCATATCGCTGTTCTCGGTAGGCGACTTGAGCCAAGTCAAAACATAAACTAGTCTTCAAAGCATTGGGGCCCGCGTGTCAAGTTAATGTCACGAAGATTTGAACATAGAGGAAATGCAAGTGAAAATGAGAGAGAGAAGTGCTGGTTGAACGCCATTCTATGTGCATACGTACGACGCGCCGCACTCGTCATAGAACGCGTATGGGCGATTCACACAGGTTTGGTGATGATGATGATGCGATATGAATCATATCGCATCATCATATCATATGATACGGCTGCATCACATACACAGTACTAGCTGTTGGCCCAAGTTATGAATTGAAACTCGTGATTATCTATCATGCTGATTGAATCAAGTTGATTCTGTCTGGTCCATAGTTCACCCGAGCGGGTCGATCAGGGCCGGTATGCGGATCCTGGTCCACGCGTGATCCTGAGAAAAAAATCACGTCATAAGATCAATGTGATGATTTTATGACATGAACCTGATTTTTTTGCTCAGATCAACAAAATTGGGATCATGGGACAGGATCATGGATCATTCTCGTGATCCGTAGATCACATCACCCATGATCCTGTCAGTTTTAGATCGGGATCGTAGATCATGGATCAGTGACCTAAAATTGATAGATCACGACTCACGATTCATCAGTGATCCGATCACGGTCGATCACTTGCACGAATCAGTATTGATGAGGCTGCGCGGCCCTGCGTGCCGCGGGTTGCGACCGCCCGGAATAGGCGGGCGAGACTGCCAGCCGTTTCATGTGGACTACAACGATTGGACTGTGATTGTTCCTTGGAATTACTAGCTCTTGATCCTTGATCCTAGTACTACTAGTTCTTGAGTCTCGACTCTAGTTTTCCGGTGTCTGCCACAGACTCTGTGATCGTGACTAGTTCGGCTACTACTAGTTCTTGAGCCACTACTATCAGGACCAGTGATTACTATTGCTCAAGCTATTGGAGTGTGCCTTTGAGTTCGACTGGTGGTTTTGGTCTACTCGGATTCAGTTCTCTCGCGGCCCATCTGCTGCTCATACTGCTGTACTAAGCTCCCTTGCCCGCCGGGCCGCGCATTCTACCGGGATATGTGGTACCTACAGCCGAGCTACCTATGGTGTTTCGTCACTAGTGACTACAGTTGCCGACGCCCTCTCCACTACCGAGACTGATCACCTCTGGTTTGGTATACGGCTTCGTGTGCGACTACATCTACGATATACTGCACGTACTGTCACTAGTGATGAGAACATCGACTATGAATCGGCCTGGTTCCTTATGTGCATCACAGTCTAGCGTACTAGCTACACGCTCCTTCTGTGATCACTGACGACATGGTAGACATGATGGTGGGGAAACCTTCCGTGTAGTCTACTACTCTACTACAAGCACGATGGATGTTCATTTGCACGTGCAATGAATATCAGGGAACCAGAGGCTCCACTATCTCACTAACCCATTCACTAGAACCACCATAGAGCACTAAGATATAACTGACGAGTTATGTCTTTGTCACTTTCACAACTACTTTCTGTGTGTCCTTGAGAAACCGGTCTAGGACGTCCATCTGCCAGTTGGGGATGACTATTCTCTAGGACCCAGATTGTAGAATGTCAACAAGTAGGGTGTAATTAAGCAGCTGCAAACTACAAGCAGACAACCGAACTAACTACAAGCTATCACACCGTATGTTCGGAGACAGCATGCATCTGCAACTGTGCTCGATGAATCGACATCAACCTTGATTATTTGGTTCCTGTCGTTACTAGCAAGAGAGTCCGGTTGGCTATTTCACTTGGTTTTGTGTCACGCCTACTTCGACTATCTATCCCACCTACCCTGTATAACGATTTCACACTGCCAGATGGGGGTGAATCGTTATATCAGGAAGGGCGTAGAAAGCCTCTACTACTCAGAAGCGCTTGGTTTTGCGCTAGTTCTTGGTTTTGACTCTGGGTACTACGCTCTCTACGTCACGTCGAGCATTGCCTTACTAGTAGCGTCTTGCGCCTTGATGATTTGGCAACGGGCGTCGTTCTTGATTTTGATTACTAGTTCGGCTTTGGTTTTTACCTCCCTACTCCATCATATTGGTGACGCTCTTATTCATGGTATTGGTCTAACCGATGGTTAAATTCTGCGCCAAACCTGGTTACTAGCGTTCGGTCTTGGTTTTGACTACTAATATGATGGCTCTCTATGACTTTTCTGGTTCTGCATCTACCCGTGGTTGATTGTCACTATCTCGATGATCCTATTGGTCCTACTACGGCTACTTGCATTTCCCAGACTAGTCTATTGGCGTGGGTTAGTCAGTCCGTTGACTCACGTAACAGTGATCTTGGTTTTGATCACTATTGGCCTTGGATTTGGCCAGTTGTCTAGCCTTGGTTTTGGCGACGACATAACTACCACTGCTTGGTTTTGCTCGGTAGTCTTGACCTTGATTTTGGTCACCCTTTATGGCCTTGGTTTTGGCCAATCTATTCATGGTTGTATATATATTTACTACGATAAGAACCTGAGCTATGGTGTGCCTTGTTGTCATCCTCTGTACTATTGCCCCTTGTGTTGGCAAGCGAAGGTGACCTAGTCTCAGCGTTCCTTACTTATCATTAAGTAATGCCCACTACTAACAACTCCGACTGCGACGACCATGGTGCTGACAACTATGATCCGCATGTCGATCAGGATGCCCACGACGACGCTAATACGCAACAGGAAACCGGCGTTCACATTCAGACCGACGACTACCACCCACCAACCTATGGCCCATGGCCACTGCAAAATCGTGGTAGACCAAATTCTTCGGATACTATTGGAGGTGCCTACCAGGGTAGATTGTTGGGTCAACAACTTATCGACCCTACTGTTATCAATGAGGACAACTACTATCGTCAACGCCGTCCCCCTCCACAACGCCGTTCTGATGGGATTAATGCTGAAGAAGTGAAGGCATTCCCACCTAACTATCGTGGCCAACCGCCTATTACTAGCGACCCACGTCTAGTACCTCTACAATCCTATCACCTCCCATCTGGAGACTACAATAGTCAGTTTGCACCCCCTTGTGCAACTAACTACCCATCGCCTTATGGAAATATTTCGTATGGTCAATTCGACTACCGTGGCCAACCCCACAACCCCAACTATGTACCCCAACCTCAACATCCTACTCCGGTTGGACACCCTTATCCCCAGTATGCTAATGCATCATACTACTCTGCTAATCCTTATAACAATGTACCACCACCACTACTCCAAGCCCCCGGTATGTTCTATGTCCCTAGAAAGAGGGCCAACTGTCACTACGGTTGGTGCGAAGGGTGTAATGATTATAGCTGCTCTAACCAGATCACTATCAAAGACTATGACTCAGCTGAGCGGGTTGTCTCCGGCCTCAAGCCGAATACTATATTTAGGGGAGCTGAAGACTACCGCTCTGGCACAGCTTTCATCGAAGAGATGAATATTCAAACTGAAGGTCATCCCGATGTAGTGCGCTACTTATGGCTGAAGCGCTATACTACTAGATATGTTTGGAAACTGATTACTGACTCAATTCAGCCTCCTACTAGATGTCACCGTGCCTATCCGCTCCAGCTGGCCCAACTATTACAAAGACTACATTTCCACTATGACTCACTCGATCATGCTCAACGGGTTGGTGATGAGTTGGCACGCTGTACTCAAGGAGATCGGTCGGTATATCAGTTCATCCGTAAACTGGAAACTATGGCTTCAGAACTACACGATCTCGGTGCCCCAGTTCCCTACCGTGACTTGAAGGTCAAACTACACAAAGGTCTAAGGTCCATGATGCTCCGTCAACGACTGGACGTTGACCTTATGAATGACTACATGTCCTTCGAGCATTTCCGAGACCGTGCTCTACTACATCATAAACAGCTTATTAACTATTATGGTGTCAACTATGATCTTGGGAAAAACAATACTACTACTGGTACTGGTCAATCTAATCCTAAGACCCTCCCCTACACTGAACCCCGTAAGTTGCGAAAAGATTCTGTTGATTCACGACGAGGCCGCCCCAAAACTACGAGAGAATATACTCCAAGGAGCTCTACTAGCCGAGATCGCTCGTATCAAGGAAGGAAAACTTCGGTTAACTACGTCGACTGTGATGATGATGCTGAAAGTGACTACTCTATTAAACACTTGTTAGCAATTCAACGAGATGTCACTGGCTTCACGTGCTTCCGCTGTACTAAAGAGGGCCACTCCGCTAAGAACTGCCCGGAATCACTACCGGCCAATATGACTACTCGTTGTAAAATATGTGGTAACCCTGCTCACACTACGGATGCTTGTCGCATCAATACTGATCACCTACTCTGTCATCGGTGCAACAATCCTGGACACCTAGCCTACGTGTGTGGGGCTAAACTACCTGCTCCTACCCCATCAACTACTACAAGACCTATGGCTGGTAAAGAAAAAGGGCTGAGACCAACAGGAAAAGCTAATACTAATGTCCATGCTACCTTTCTCAACGACGGATCCAATCAGGATGGACACTACTGCTATACACTACACCGCTCACAAACTAGGCCCCCCACTCCTGATCCTCGAGTACGACGTCGAGAAGGTATGATGACTGGATTCATCACAATCGAGGACACTGAGGTTACTGCTATCTATGACACCGGCGCCGATGTATCGATCATTACTAGCGATTGCCTTAACTACGTTGCCCCCGATGCGGATCTCGACACTAATGTCCCTAACGTTCTCAGTGCGGCAAATGGTGGTAGCTTAGATACTATCGGTACGGTGGAACTACGTGTATCTACAACCAGAGTGTCTAGCATTCACACCTTCCTCGTCACTACGGTACCATTGAACCATCCAGTTATTCTCGGATGTCCAACTATGTCCCGGTTAAGGACTCGTATTACTATATCACCTACTGGTTATCACATTGAAACCAACTACACCACTAGGCCTGTTGGTAACAACGTTAAGTTCAACGACTCTATAGAACATATCTCTCAACCTGTCGAAGATGAGGACCCTCTGGAGGACAACTCAAACGAGCAACTGAGAGATGACTATTCTAATAAATACGACTATATAGAGAACTACAAGGTTAACTACATCAACCAACTGTGTTACCAAGAAGGTCTCGTCCCCTACGAGAATGTCGACACTGCAACTATGGATCCTGGTATCCCTATCACAACCAATACAATCAATGTTCAACCATTGATTCGTGGCCAAGGCCCATCCAACAATGAGAGGAACGAGACTAAGGCTGCTACTGACTTTGGTAAACACTCACCACCCCCCAAACTGGACGTGCTCGACTACATCCAAGGAACTGGTGACCAGGTTGATTACAATAGAGAAGATGAGGACCCTGTGGAGGATGACTCTGGCGACTTACTAGATGACGAACTTCGGATTCTCGATAACCTCCCACCTTGGGAAGTACTACAGAGAGATTGGTCACTTGATGAAACGGCTCCACTGGGACGTGTTATAGTTCGAGCCTTGTGGAAGACCGAAGCTAGACCTCCGATGAACTACCGTCAAGCTGCCCAACGTGGTGCACGGTCTACTAGTCGCTTGACTACTACACAACGTGAGGCATTTGAAACCACGTTAAACACTTACGTTGACCGTGGATTCTGTGCCGTGGTACAACATAACAACCTCACTAACTACGAGAAGAGTCCGGTGTTCGACGATTGTCAGACGGCCTGGGACAAACTCACTAAGGGTACGTCTTATGAGGGCACTACAGTTATGAAGCCCAAGCACTTCACACCGGCCCATACTGTGTTTAGAGATCAACACCCTACTACACCCTGCCGGATAGTGTTAGACTACCGAGTGTTGAACACATTCCTACTACGAGGTGGCCGGTCCCAACATGACCTACAAGGCACTCTACTACAAGTCCGTGGTTTCAAGTATTTCGTGGCCTCGGACATTTCCAAAGCCTTCTGTGAAATGAAGTCCTCACTATACGACTTGGCTTATACTAACTACACGTGTATTGGTAACTACACTATATTATGGGGTAGTGTGGCTTTCGGCACTAACAGCGCTCCTAATTTTTTGGAGTGCAGTATGCACGATATCACACTAGAAGCTGAGTCACTCGGACAAGTGGGTTCTACGCTAACTACTGGTCCCCTGGTTGATCCCTCACTATACAACAATGAGACCCTTGAGGAAATCCTTTTACGTCCGAGCCAAGATGCTTATGACTACATTAGGACTGGCCCTGCTATACCACTCAAGCTGGTACTATTAAAGTACGTAGACGATTTGTTCAACGGTGGTGACTCTATCGAACTAGCTGAGACATCCAATGACTTCTCACTCCATCTACTAGGTGGTCATGGATTTAAATGTGACGCTGTTAAAAATGTCGTATCTTGGACTAACTCCACTCAGGAGAACGATACCAGGAAGTCACTACTTGGATACCACTATAACGATGAGAAGCTCTATGTTGTTTACTCTGGAGAGTTCCCTGACGGTCCTACTACCAAACGTGAAGCGTGCTCTGCTCTGTCGTCTCTCTACGACCCGCTTGGACTACTTATCGAATATGACCTGAAAGGACGACTTATCTGGAGACGTATTTGTGAAAGGTGTAAGCTATGGACCGATACTATCGATACTAACGTGGCCAACGACATCAAGGATTGGATTACCGAGTGTACGGTGGCCACAACTATCGGCATCCCCCGATATATAGGTGTCAACCATCAACCACTACTAGTATCAACCGATGCGTCTTGTGATCTATGGGGTGTAGATATCCGCTGTGCTGATACTACAACTGTGTCACCAAGACTACTCAGCCGTGGTGGTGTATTTCCTAAGGGCCAAGTTAAGTGGACTATTCCCCGGAAGGAGCTGGTTGCACTCTATAAGGGACTACAACTACTCAAGGCTATGTCCCCGTACTTAATGTCCCGTTGGGGAAAGATTCGGGTTGCTTACCTGGATCGTGGATCACTGATCCACGATCGAGGATCGAGCTGATCCAGGATCAGCATTCACGTCTTCCGAATTTGCTGACACTCTCCGGGAGGAGGGCATTGAGCTGAGGTACCACGCCGCCAGAGCGCCGTGGGAAACCCCAGTCGAGCGATCTCATGCAGTTGGCCTGCGGATTCTAAGGCTCAATTATACCCCCCAACAGTTGGCGAGGTCATCCGATCAGGACTTGAATCGAATTTATGATCATGTATCCCTTCTGATGAATAGTATTCCCATATGCGTCCACTCAGCAGGTCCGGATGATCAGGATGTGATAACTGCAGATCGGCTAGCCCTCGGATATACCCGCTCTACCGGAATTTTACTGCCTATGATTGAGTCCGAATCTATAGCAAATGTCCATATCGACCGCCCTCGTGCGGTGGATAGCATTCGCCGCACTTTTCTTCAACATCATTGGCAATTGTTACGTGATCGATGTGCTAAAGCCATGGGCAAGAAGCGAGGTGTTGATACCCCTCCTCTTGCTCCAGGTACTACTGTCCTAGTCCGTGTAGCCCAGCGTAATAAGCTGGACGTTGGCGTTCGTATCGGTCACATTGTTGATGTTATTAACCCTTCTCATGATGGATATGTTAGGCGTTACAAGGTGCGCTTTCTATCTGGCACCTTGAGTGAAGAATCGCACGTTAATGTGATTCCAACATCGGTTCATAGTGCCGAGCACTGTTTGCTCGGCAGGGGGGCATGTTAGAGGAATGTTGAGGGCAACTTTTTAGTCCTTTAAGTTTATAGTGATCTGCCAAGGCCTGCTACCTCCTGCTACCTTTGTTGTTTGTGCGTTTGCGTCTGCGTGCCAACTTGCACGTGTACACAGCTGTGGTATCAGACTCATTGTAGCACGATCCACATTGTAGAGATCGGTATCAGTAGCCATCTTGGCTCAAGTTCTGCCTTGTTGGGTTCAGTCAATGTCCACCAACCCTCAAGCGAGCGGACTACCTGGCGTTAACATGGCGACAGCGGCATTTGGCAAAGCAACTCTGCCCACCCTTGGCAGCCGCGTCGACCTTGCCCATCATATCCACATCGTCGACAACTGTTTGCTAGAGTGTGGCCTGGCAACGTTGGATACTGAGGGTAAAGTGTGCATCAAGCCCCAGAGCAAGTACGTAGCAATGTCTCGCATACTAACCAGTCTATCAACGGTTAAAGAAGTTGCGGCGTCTGCTCAACGTGCGGCTACTCGGTTCGATTACGACTGGGTTTCGGTGAAACGGCTCCTTACTCGCCAGTATTGTAAAAAGGAGACTCTCAAGGCCGAGTACTCATCCCAATTAACGAAGCTAAGGCTTATTTCCGAGTCCGATGACCCCGAGCCATTCATTGAAAAAGCTACTGAGTGCTTCGCCCTGTGCCAGCGTGCGTTCGACGACGATAGGAGTGAACGGCGAGCTTTCATTCGCGCACTCTGCAATCGACTTCCTCACGACTGTGTCCTCTCAATTCTGAGGTCGGTCCAGAGCGCCCTCCTCGCGAAGGGGCTCAGCGATGGAGACACGGAATGGGAGACATCGATCGCTTTCGATGATTTCGACCTAGCTGCTCGCGAAGAGGCCGACGCGCCACCGGTTACAGCCATAACCTTTTGTTCAGCGCTGAGGAGCTCATGTGGTCTCGCTCGTGAAGCAAGGTTACTGACGAGTTCACCCCAGGTGAAAACAGACGCTATTAAAGCAATTCGTGAAGCAGGAGACCACCCCCAGCGACGTCCGAAGTTCTCTGAGAAGTTCCCTTTCGTGGTCTATGTCAGTGGATCCCTTGTAGACGATCGGGATAAATTCCCTAAGTATATCGCTACGGTCAAGCCTACTGACTCCTTGCGCACGAAAAACAAGCGGGGGAAACCATATGCTCTTCTGGGATTCGCTACGGAGGAAGCAGGGTCGTCGGCGCTGGCAGACCTTCAAGCTGATCGTGGGTTAGGCCTCGTGGTTCGTCAATTCCAAACCGATCCGCCAAAAAACGGATCGGGGCCCCGTCAGTAGCTCAAGGCGGGGCCAGTTATTCGTCTTATGCTAACCGATCTTTTGCTTTTTCGCCGTGTGTGAGGGTTTCTGCCTCTCCCCCCTCACGCAGGACTGTACCAATTTCTGTACTATCTAATGATCGTCCATCAATTGATTCTCTAGCACAACCAGCGTTTTCGTCTGTATTATCGTCGTCTCCAATATCTGTCGAGACTACCCAAAAGGCAACCTTGCCTGGGGATGAACCTACTTTTAGCCAGTTAATCGCTAGTGCTCACACCCTGGAAGACTCCCTTCATTGGGTACCTAACCGAAGTCCCGCCCTCTCGGAACTCACCCTGAAGATCCGCATAGGCGAGAGTGATGTCAATCGAGCACTAGTCGATAGCGGAGCCGGATTCAGTTACTTGATCGCTAGGGATCCAGGCTCACTGGCAGGTCTCGAAGGTCATGCTTCCCCGCGACGTGTTCTGCAATCCGTCCGCTTAGCAGATGGCTCTCTGTATCATGTGAATACCATATATGATGTATCTCTACGAGTCTATGACGTTAATGCTCACCCAGTCATAGACACGGTGGTGCCTCTACGTCTTCTCGTGGCTCCGGCCGCGCGCCCGCAGATTCTCATAGGTCGTGATCTCATTGAGCGCTGGGGTTTATGCATTAAAGGGGCCACTCAAATCGTGAGCAGGTGCGGTGAAGTCCTTTATCAACGACCTTACGACGAGAAGCAATCTGCTACCCTAAGCCATGCCCCAGTGTTAGCTAATGTATCTGAGGATGATCGGCAAGATCCCTCTGCACCTCAGACACTCGCGGGGTACCAACCCGACCCTAATGGCGAGGAGTTTATTCCTGTCATCGAGGACGAGCTCCGTGATGACCTAGATGCATGGCTGCTGGATCTTGTTGAGGTCGGTGTGCGACAGTTCGGCCCGGGAGTAGAGGGTCCGTATCGCATGCAACTGCTCCCCATGGCGGCGGGAGACACTCGCGATACACCCTTACAGAAATTCTACTTCCGCTTCTCCCTTCCTACCCGTTCGCAGTTACTACAAGCCTCACCAAGCACCTTTGGACTCACTAGCCCCTGTCCTCGAAGCCCGTCAAGTACGACTTTTGTGTGATAGTGAGATCACAATCTATCGACTCCGACGGCCTGCTAATGACAAACGACTACCAGTGGTTGAACGACGACGACTTGTTGAGATCCGTAAACTCTGTAAGGAGTTAGATGTCATAGTACTACACGTCCCATCGGCATTGAACTACGCCGATAGTATCTCACGTGCTAGGACTACTAATGATATCATCGGCAGCGAAGTCCTCAATTCCCTAACTACGGCTAAGGTCATCTACGACTACCGATGTCAAGACGACGTGTTCGAGGAGGATTCTACCATGGTTACTAGCTCGACGGTTGCATCGGCAGTACTAACTATCAACGAAGATGGTATCGATTTACCCGAGGTCAATCCACTGCCAGATGAACAACAAGAAGAACTAAACGATCTTATGAACTACGCCAAACCCTCAGACAGGATAGCCGATGGGTTATTGGAAGACTCTCGCTTCACTATGTCAGTCGCACGGTGTGTAATTCGTTCTCAACAAGAGGATCAAGATATCAGTGCCTTGAAGACCATCCTCCGAGGCGAGACTACGATACCCCTCTATGGTGTACGGGCTACTAGGCTACAGCGACTCGCTAAGGTATGCTTCCTGGATGACGAAGGTCTTGTCCGCCGTTACCCAGAACCGCACCGACTAACTCAACCTCATAACGAGAAGGGTGTATTATGCCTTGGGAGAAGTTTATATTCCGCGTTCTTGGTTCGGGTATTGGGTACTATATTTCACTACCTATATGGCCATCTAGGCGCTGAGCGAGTCCACATCCTTCTTCGACGAGACTATTGGCGAGATTCTATGTTCAAGTTGGTGCGGTTGACTATCGGCTCCTGCATCCCGTGTCTTAAGGCAAGAGCCACAAGGCAACACAACTACCTAGTCACTCAAGTCCAAACTCTACTGACTGAGGCTCTTTGGCAACTGGTTGGTATAGATATCGCCGGACCATATGACCGACGACCGACTACAGCCTCAGTCACTCCTACCAGCATTGATGAGGCCGACAAGGACCACTACATACTTTTGGTACACGACTACGTTAGTGGCTTCACTGTTGGACGTCCTATGCGTAATTGCAAGGCTGAGACTGTCGCTAACACACTAGACAGTGTCTTCTTGGAACATGGTAGCCCTGCCGTACTACTTACGGATCATGATCGTACTATCCTATCTAGTAAGGCTGTAAAGCTGATACTAGCACGACATGGTACCAGGCACTATGTGCTCCCGAGTTATTCATACTATCTGGGATTTTGGGAAAGAGCGCACAAAGACTTCGTGGAGGTTACCCGTGCACTACAAGCAGGCAGACCCATAACTGGCCCCGATGCTCGTACTAGTGTTATGGAGAATGCTTATATCGCTGACTACTTGGTAGCTGTACGAGCCTACAATCATACACCCAGGCTCTGGGCTAATGCGACTCCGTTCGAGCTGCATTATGGATACACTGGGCGACTCCCTGGACAACACCCCGAACTAGATGACTCTATCGATTGGGATACCCTCAACCTACGGTACTCTACTACGGATATAGTTGACTTTGTCCACAAAAACGTCCCCCTGCTCACAGAGGCCCGTGAGAAGATGAAGACTACCCTCGGTGAGTATTTGGAACTATGGCGTATTAAACAACAGCATCATCTCCAACGCTATGCCACCGAGAGCCCCAATGACTATGAGCCCAAATTGTTTGACTTGATCTTCACAGCTAAAAAGACCGACAGCAGCATTGGTAACCACCTTCGAAGCTGCTGGAGTGGTCCGTATACTATCGTCCAACTACAAGGCTCGTCCATGGTTAAGGCTATACATGGTATACTACTGGAAGGCATTGGCGGTGTAGAAGCAGACGAAGACCGAACTACGGCGAAGATCCCACGCATATATGGAGCCTCGGAGTCTTACTCACTCAAGAACGTGGTACACGCTAGTGCATTGCAGTCGGTCATAATTAACTATTACCACCAATCGCAACGAGCCTATATCGACTCGGATGGTACATTACGTACTATGAGGTTGACTACACCTTCCCAACCTGATGATGCTATGCGAGTTGCCAGAGCTCGAGACCAGACTGCACTACGTCATATGCGGACGACATCTACGTCACCACTACAGGAGGGAGATGCCTCGGACGGACAGCCTACTACACCAGATGTCTCAACCCCATGCGTGGACGAAGGCCTCAGTGGAGTTGAGAATGATGATTATGAAGACAGCTCAAGAAGTTCTCGTACTAGTTGGTTGACTCCGCCAACTCATACTGCCACACGAGGTGATTCTGTTGTACTGAGCGAGCCGCCCGAGACCAATTACGACGAAGTCTCGATAGACCGACTACGAAACCATTGTGGGATATCGGGTAGGCCTCTCTTCGGTAAATTTATGAATACTATACCTACCGTGCAGTCAGTTGTGATAAGCACTACTGCACCTCATATTGGTTTAGCGAGGGTAATTGACGACTCCATCGGGGGCGATTATATAAAGCTACAAGCTCTGAGTATGGTTGAAAAAGACGGTATCATCACTACCCCCGAGATTGAGGAGATCGACCCATTTAACGTAGACTATCATTCTGTCGTCTATGTGAGACCTACGGCTTCAACGTGGACTAGGACTCGAGGCAAGCAACTAAGGGAACTGCTGACCGACATTGCCTCCTTCTTACCTCTGGCCTAATTGGGTAATCGTTACACTAGTGTCTACTTGTAGCTCTGAGTGACGTGCGACCCCCACTATCTTTGCTGTTACCCTTATTATTCTCATCGCTATCTGGTGAAGTAGATACTACTATGACTAACTAGATAATGATAGTGATTTCTGCGAGATTAGACTAGACTATTCTGATGACCATCTTTTGCTTTTTCGTATTTGCTATTATTAATTTGATAATTGGTTGGTACTGTAACTATTTTGGGTGCTAATACTTCTAGTACTGCTTGCATTACTAGTGTATTAGCGTGGCCAATGCGCGGCCCTGCGTGCCGCGGGTTGCGACCGCCCGGAATAGGCGGGCGAGACTGCCAGCCGTTTCATGTGGACTACAACGATTGGACTGTGATTGTTCCTTGGAATTACTAGCTCTTGATCCTTGATCCTAGTACTACTAGTTCTTGAGTCTCGACTCTAGTTTTCCGGTGTCTGCCACAGACTCTGTGATCGTGACTAGTTCGGCTACTACTAGTTCTTGAGCCACTACTATCAGGACCAGTGATTACTATTGCTCAAGCTATTGGAGTGTGCCTTTGAGTTCGACTAGCGGTTTTGGTCTACTCGGATTCAGTTCTCTCGCGGCCCATCTGCTGCTCATACTGCTGTACTAAGCTCCCTTGCCCGCCGGGCCGCGCAAGGCACGCGATCAAGAATCACGGCGGAGCGATGCTGCTTCGCTCCGTTTGTTGCGCATATTCGAAAGATAGAATTTAGTAAGTTGCATTGTAGTTAGGTTGCCAAATGTCTGACGCTTCTTGCGAGATAAAAATATACTTCGCTTCTATTTTCTTCGACGAAAACAATGGAACCCAAAAGATACTCAGGGGAAATATTGGCGGCAACGACGTTGCCAGGCGACAGCGTGAGCAGTGGGAGAAAATTACGATCGACATCAACTCGTTGTTCGGGGTAAACTACACTACCAAAAATTTCAAGCCGATGAAGGAGGATATGACACGGGGTAGTCTGGTATATTCCTCCATCCGCCTTCCTTCATCCAAGCCTTAGATAGACGAAGACTGCGTGCGAATGTATGGATCTCCTTAGTATGCATTTTCAAGGGAATCTTCGTGCCACGAAGTGTGTAGCATTTTGGAGGGATCAGGATCACGGATCACGAGTAATGTAACATAGCAAAAAAGCCCCGTTACAGGATCACGGCATTTTAACACGTAAAGTACCACTGATCCATAAACTGATCCTTTTCATGGATCAGAAGCTTGATCCAATATTTGATCTGGATCAGAGGGTGATCCCTCGGGACCGAATGGATCACGGATCAACGAAATTTCTCAATTCGTCTGAGAATTTCTCAACCCCTTGATCTTTGGATCACGGATCAAGTTTTTTCTCAAGAATCATAGATCAGGATCAAAAATGAGGTTCACGCGAGATCCAGATCACAGATCACGGATCAGTATCAAAGTTCATGGATCGAGATCAACGGTCAAGGATCAGCATCAAAGATCACGGATCGAGATCAAGAATGCAGTCATATGCGCATGATGATGGAAGGATCAGATTTTTGAGAAAAATCATCCGTCCATTGATTCTCATTAGTGCTATCAAGTCACTGGTTCCGGATCATTACTGAAGTGGTCAAGCTCTGCACTAATGTTTGTACCATGAAACCTTCTAGTCCAACTACAGTGTGGTGTAGTATTTATACCAACTGTACAGGCATTCAACGCTGAGGACAGCTATGGATAGTCTATCAGTACTGTGTATGATGCTGTACGCATAATTGCTGACTGGTGCTATCGATGATATTAATGAGTGCTATTATTTGGTGTATGATTCTCGAGTAATTGACCTCACTCAGTCCATGCTACTGATGTGAATCACTGCATCATCTTCAAATGCAGATACGTACTCAGACTCAAGAACTATGCCAAGTTTCCACCAAAGATACACTGATTCCGTTACGGGGGTATTGCCCACCGGCACTGTGCCGGCGGCACGTGGAGGTGATGCCGATGCGGGAACCAAAGTCAAGAGCACTTTCAACTTCGCATTATCCATAAACGCCTATCGTACTGATAATTTCCAATAGTCACCTTGCCTCATGGAGCAGCCTTTATCCTCAAAATGTAGCACATTCATGTGACAGCGATATTGATACCCATGTTGTGCAACTTGGCACTTGTAGCCGACGTGACGTGAAAGAAAGGATCCTTTTTGAGCGGTTGGCCTGGCTTTAGCTACAGGAAAATCGATCAATTCACGTGTGCAGGCAAACTTGCACACATCCTTGTGCCGCACACAAGTTGTGCGTCACCTTCACGCACAAATCACAGCAACCTGACGATGCGGTCATCTTTCCCAGATGACTCAGCGAAAGAAAATTGATTTGAGACAGAAATAGCTGATGATAGTATCAGATAACCATGCCATCCATGGATGTAAAAAGCATGCATAGAGAGCATGTGGAGACATTGTCTTCGAGACAATGATGAACAAGATACTCGTGACACGATGCAGCGAGGCTAGCAAAATGGGAAATCTGAGGCCCGAACACTTAGGGTCGCAGATCACCAATTTTCGAGAAACGCGCAGTGTTGTATATATCTCAACTGAAACACAGAGAGAAGAATTATAGGCCAAATAAGTCCCCGAATGAGTCAAGGATCGAACGCACGATCTTGAACATTTCTACTCCTGATCGCGATCATACTCAGCTCTGACTAATACTCAAACGTGCGCTGATGCTGGGTCGTTCTTGCGAGAAACGCACTGACTGAGATTCGAACCTGGAGTCTGTCCTTACACCAAATATAGATGGGCAGCGTAACGTTTTCTTACGGTTTACGTTACAGTGTGCGTAACGTAAGTAGTTTACGGTTACGGCAAAGCCTTACGACTTTACGGTTGGTGTTGAACTGCTATTTTGGAGTTGTGGCGGAAACATTCGCTGAAATGCACTCCACGATAGCTCAAATAGTTCTTAAACTCATTTCTTATGGCTCGGATTCAACCGAACCGCTGAGAGAGTAACATTTGGTTTCGCATTTACCACGCGTCTCCTTTGCAAATTTCACCCGTCATACTCCCAGGCTGGCCCGGAACTGCCAAGCCGGCTTTGCCTACCGATGCGCATTCACCCGAAATAGATTTAGGCGACTTGAATGACCAATCCTCGTTTCGTCCTCTGCATCTCCGTAAGACCCGTTACGGTGCCGTAACTTTACGATACGGGGCTTGAATGGTAACCGTAAAAGTGAGCCGTAACGGTCCGTAACGTGATTCTGCCCATCTATAGCACCAAATCACCGCCGGTGACATACCGACGTGCGCCGCGCTGCGCACCCGCGCATATATTCTGCTCGCCAATGCGTTGTTGAGCTAAACCCGTCGAGTTCGACAAGGCTAAGTTTGGCCAGAAACCATTGCCTGGTTTGTTCATCCGAGAATACACCTCGACCCAATCATCGAATCACGACGTAATGGATTAGTTGCTGCTCCCCTTTGCGAGTATGCGTGCGGTATGGTGTGAGTGTGCGCGCATTCGCACGCAAGCGTAACCACGATTGCTCGGGTGGATTTTTTCCCTTCGTATTGAGGAGAGTAGTAACGATGATTCGTCAGTTCGTTCTTACCTGTAAACTTGTCTACCGTGTTGGTAAATTCTTAATACGATTACCATGTGGCGGCCCCACAGCGGAGCCGTGACGGTCAGGGTGACGCGGATGACGTCAGATCATCCGACTCGGATGCCTTCCATGGCTCACTTGCGTCAAAATGACCAGACATCAGCGGGAGAGATGCGATTGAAACATACACTGAGACCTCGAGCCACGATGGCTACGAACCTAAGGGCTCTAGTATCCAAGATGAATAGCCCGGAATGTATCCTATGCTCATACTCGAGTCTGCTTTCTTCATTCCTTGTAAATGCGTGCATTGCCAGTGCACGCATGTATAAAAGGAAGCCTTCGCTGCTACACCGGCTTGGTATGAACAGCGCCTTCTCTTCCTAGCGTTCACTCTCAAACGACTCTTATGATATTCGGTTAGTCCATTTTGCAGGATTCGATAGACCTTATAGCATCCTCATTTCCCTAATCATGAACATCCTCTCAACTTGGTTGCTTGCTACTCAACTTGTGGCCATTTTCGCGATTTGCAGCTTGGAAACTGATGCAGCAACCCACCTACGCCAAGCGGTGCCGTCTTCAACGGGGCCATCCCAGAGCACTGCTTCACCGGGGCCTTGTCCGCCTCTTGATGGTATTTTCGTCAAGAAGAGTGGACCGCCTAAGCTATCTGGTAACTTCAACTTCACCTCCACCAATTTTGACATGAATCTGAGCTATGCTGGGACGCCATACACGGTTGAGAATATTCCCTACACCATGATCGACGAGATCGCGGCAGAGCAGGGATGTTGGGTCCATGTTGATCTGTCTGTGATCTATAAGATGCCAAAGGAAGTGCGGGAGGATGTGGGAGTTGCACTAATCTTCTTCTACAAAAACTTGCTGTACCTCCCCACAAAGTTCGGCGGCCCCAAGTCTTTAGCCCGAGCAACATTCACCAGACAGGAGGCCTTGTAGGCGGCCTTAGTTCCGATAACGAGATGGAATTTCAACTGGAACTACCGATGATATTTTTTGGGGAACATTATCCGGGTTTTCCGAGAACAGGAGTTGAAGCCAGTCATTATTTCAAAGCTATTGAGTACTTCGTGGAAGTTGTTGTGTGGGAGTGAATTCATCGACGGCAAGGGTCTAGTTAATGATATTATCATCCCAGCCAGAAGCTCATCCTTGGCATATCATCATCAGGGTGAATAGGGGTGATCTAGGTGGTAAGACCTGCGAGAAGGAGTGCAGAAATACTCGCTGTTCACGTCTGTCGATGCTCCGTAGCTCCTTACGCATAATACTCTCCAGCAGAATGCTCAACTCGGCATAGTACAAGCGTACTAATCAAGCTCCGTGGCCAAAAACTCTCGTAGTCAGGATTCATCAAGTAATCATCACTAAAGACTAATGGAGTGCGCTCGGAGGAACATTCCTGTCTCGGGTGAGGAATAATACCCTTGTTACGTACAGCAAGGTCGATGTGAAAAATCTTTCCTCTATCACATGGCCCTAGCATTTATTTAGGGACGTTTACCCCGAGAAGTGACCTCCGATACGCTATTCTGCCGATGTTACTGAGAAGCAAATCAAGAGAGTGCTCTCGAACTTCTAACATGGACACGAAACCTTGTTGTGTATGATGACATTGTATACGACGATTAATGTATTGCTCGCATTTTATATATTTGAGCCATCATCGCTCGCCAAGATATCCGCATGAGTATCCGAAACCGTCGACCCTAATGGTCGATTCGGTTGTATTAATTAGACTCCTTCAATCCGGTCCTCTCTGAGGTTGCGTTGTCAACTACGGATCTAACACCTAGAACACATGGTCCTAGCACCCTAGTTGGGCTTGTCCTAACGGTTTGCGACGATAAAGCGCCATGGAGAACGATGACGCTAGGACATATGGGAAAGAGGTGTGCACCCTAGGATATTCTGCCAGCCCTTTTTACGGGTTTTTGAATCAAAAATTTTGATCACTAAACTCGACAGAACATCTTTTGCAGCGCGCTCACGAAAACGCCAAGGAAACCAATTGATATACCAAGATAAGGGCTTTCGAATGGTATGGGTCTGAGGTCGAATAAAATGTTACAGGGGGTGGGCCCTTGATAAATTGACACCCTGTAGAACTCGTGGCTGATGCCACTAATAACATTCCGACCGGCATAATGCATCGTTCGCATCCTGGAGATGACCGAACTGTAGTTTGCTAGTACATGCCTTTCATTACATGATGCATTCAGAAAGTCGATATTGCGAGCCGAGCTGCTCATTCCACTGATTCGGACTCTGTCGAATTGCTCGAACGTTCGGAAACTCACTCGGATAGCTCGATAGAAACTCTGTGCTGCAGAGCTCGAGCCCTTCAAACTCAATGAACGCATGGCAACGAGTTTATTCTTCACGCATCCAACCGTTAGTCGGTTGACGATCGTTGGATCGCACGGCACCCAGCAAAGATCCCCTGTGCGGCCGCCAAAGTTCAACTCGAGCGGATCCTCTTATTCCGATATAAATACAGCGTCTGTCCCTGACTTATCCCCAGCCGTGATGATCCAAACGAGCCAGCTCAAACGAGTTGATCATCAACAAGCCTAGATGGTATTATCTCAAGGACCAAACATGACTCTTTTCCAGTGAAGAGGTTGTGTAATCTACCTCACCATCGGAATGCATGAGCGAACAACCGATTATGGCTCTGAACACCAAGCCTTCAGTCTGAGGAAGAGATGTTGGGAGCTGTTTCAAATACCCTATGTGGATAGCGAAGAGGTAAGGGATGACCTTAGAGCAGTAAGCATTAAGATAATGATCACATCCCCACCGCGTTTTAACAAACTAAAATAAACTCAAGTATCAAGACTATTCTTCTCTAGCATAGCAATCTGCAACGATGGGAGCACGGATGGTAAGCAGCACTCTTAAATCGTATGAACAACAGTGTCTCGTCAGTATTGGGTTTGTGGTGTTTATGAGAAGGATAATAATTCTAAAAAAGTACCAGGTAAAAGTACCAAAAAATATACCGGCAGTGGTTCGAAACTGAACACTATCTTACAGCACGCATAGACCCTTGCCGACTATGAACGCTTGATCAAAGCTGAGCTCTGGAGAGAGGCCCTCATGCGAAGGCCAAGTGTTTGTCGGCAGTAGACCTTTTGGACATGCCCCCCGTATCCTCGATTGACCGCCGCTCTTGAGTCTGATAATAAGGAGCATACAAGGCATTGTTTTGCAGCTGATTCGTTATGAACTCAATACTTACCTTCCCAGTACGTGGGTCGTATCGCTTCTCTGTCACTGACCTCTGAATCCTACCGTCTGGGTGGCGTATTTGCTGCAAGGAAAATCATGTTGAAGGGGCCAACATAAGGCTATACCTTCTCAGTGATAGTCATTGTATGGCCGTTGACAGTACGAGTGCTGGTGGACGTACCTTATTAATACCATCATGGTTGCTCCCACATGAGTGTCGTCGACTTACTCTGACTCATCCCGGAGCTCATATCCCCACCAGCACTCCCAGTAGATGATCGAGCGAAGCCACCAGAACTGACACTACTGCTAAAGTTTGCAAAGTTGGTTCTCCTCGATGAACTCTGACCGGTGAATCCTTGGGTAAAGAAAGGATCATCAAAGGCGGACACTAAAGCACATGGACATTCCTTATAGACTCCTAAGGTAGCTTTGAGCCTACTTCCCATCCAAGCTCCCCCGCCTCTACTCGATGATGAGCTCATCGCTCGTAGTAAGTTACCATTGACCAGATCATCAAACTGCTGCCAGGGATCGTGACTCCCAAAAAACTGTTCAAAGACCGAGAAAGCGTCGTTCATATCGTAATGATGGTATCCTGAAGACTCATCACTACAATAGGCCATAAACAGGACACGGACCTCCAGCTGCGTGTGATGCACCAGAGGAGCTATTGCCTCTCTCTAGACCACTCCTCCCATATGTATCATATATCCGCTTCTTCTGAGGATCACTGAGGACCCCATAGGCCTCGGCTACCTACATAGATAAGTGAACTGTTACTATCTTCACCTGCCAGTATACCTCCTTGAACATCTTCTCAGCCGTCTCACGGTTATCAGGATTCTTATCAGGATGCCACTTCAACGCTAAGTAACATCAACACACTATCCCCTTCAAAGGGCCCAACGGTATTACCTTGCTTCTTGTAAGCCTTCTTTATCTCGTTGAGTGAAGAACTTCTCGGCACATGTAGAATACCGTAGTAATAGGTGTGGTGAGAAGGCATTAGCAATTGTACAAGAATTGTATACCCCTAGGAACTGCTATTATCACCGCAAAGCGTACCACCCGGCCATATAGACACATGCCCACCACGCTGGACACATGAAACGACAAGACTCCTCAAGCTCAGGTCCAAATGAACAAGGATAGCAACCTAAACTCAAAACGAGCAGCAAGATGGGTAGAATGATGACAGTACAAAGGAACAAAGCACACCGGGTAAATAATGTTGGATAGGTTCAAGTCGGAAACTTCGGATTGATTACCATGACGGCCACAAGGATAGCCCCTAGAGAGATTGTTGTTGTATTCAGCCTCGCTGTATGGCAAGCACAGAACGTCTTACGACGCCAGTGTGCCTTCGAGTGCAAGTATCGTCCCACCGGCTGAAAATTAGTGTCTAATTTTAAAACCTGCCAGAGCCGAGATCCCTGCAATATGTAGAGGACTGTTACAGGAGCAGTGAGGTGGTATGGAGAATGTTACACATAGACGTATTAGCACACAATCTCATCGCGATAACGTTTGGGGTGATAATAATAGGCAGTTGATTTAGCCACTTCTTGGTCACCGCATAGAAGGAGGTCCTTGAATGGTATTAGACTCGATCTCCACTTGGTCACCTCCCCCGAATTTTCTTCAATATCCTCAACTGAGTAATCACTGATGGATGCCCATTAGAAACGAGAATACATAAACTTAACTCTGAACATATCTGTGTTAAAAACAAATGAATAGCGCACAGTAGGTCACAACAACAACATCCTCAAGTGAGTAACAGCCCTGAAGGCTTCCTCACGAACTGCCAACTTGGGGTCTCTACAAAGGCCACCTCGCCAAAGGGCAGTAATAGCAGCCGAGCGTTCGTCGCTATCTCGAGTGTTATATAACTGCACGGCAAGCAGCCTGAGCCTATAGTCACTGTTAGAGGCTAATTCAGACACCTGTGGTATCGGGAACTCAGGGCCCAACCACTTGGTGATAGTGTTGATACATTGGGACACTAGGTCATCGCGATTGCCTTCAACAGTGTCCAAATGGTCCTTAATGCGAGGGAGCACGTCATTGAGATCGCTGGGAGAGCGGCCTGCAAGGATGTACTGTATTCTGGCATCACTCCATAAGCTCCCGAGACCGACAACACCCTCGAGGGCATCAGCAATATGCCCGAGGGTTGCCTTCAGGTTTTCGACTTCTAATGGAGCACGGACGGTCTGAAGGAACCTTCTGATAAGGGCCTCAAGCCTCTGCCCTTCATCATCATCAGGATTCATAGGCTCGTCCTTGTTGACCTGCAGTTAAAAGTGAGGAAATAATAACGGTGAATCAAGAGTGGCCTACCGCTGGTTTCCAGTATCCCTCCAGTAAAGAATCGAATGCCTCGACATAGGCAGTCAAGGCAGAGGTGCTACCCTCCAAGATGTAAGTGGAAAACAAGTCGAGAGCCTAACCACACCATATCCTATCACAGACCTCAGCATCAAGATGAACCTACCCGACTGAAGAGAGAATAAGGAGAATTCTTGTCTGTTAGAATACGCTTCAACGCGATAACGATAGCAGACTCCGCAGACTTTGTAATGTCCGGCTTGCCCTCCGACCAAGCTTCCAATGCTGTGATGCAAGAGTCGGCAATATCCTGTTCACCGATGGTATTCCCAAACACTGGTAGTAGGACCTGTCGAAAGGCTCCAACAAAACATACCATCTCTGCCTCAGCCGTACCGTTTTAATGTACCGACAACGGGCCTCAGTGGTATCGCATGAGTCTAGTCGATAGCCGGTGGGACGAGGAACTACGTATTTACTGAGAGCATCAGGGACCTCCTTAGACATGTCCATGCAGGTTTTCAATACTTGCCAATCGCTACACCAGAGCATGTTACTGACATAGGGACATACTACTCTAGTGGTGAGAGGCCAGTGCGTACTGTATAAATGCTGATCCTATGGCCTGTACAATATCCTTATGAACATGCTTTCTGGCACCATCACGAGTGAATAGACGATACTTCAACCAGTACTGCCGACGATCGATAGAGCCGAACCTTGCAGCAGCGTGACATAACTCCTTGTGTACCTGTAGGACTATGAGGACCCTCCGAAGGGTGATTAAGACTACTGTCAATTTAATTGCAGTCCCAGAGGATTTGCGAAATGTAGCTCCTATGAAATCGTCGAAGAGTTGATCCTCAGTCAATGTAGTGGACGCCACTCTAGCCAGACAGAACCTACCGCATGCCATCTCTAGCCAAGCATAGCCCACGATACCCTACGGAGCAGTCCTAGCAGCATCAGTGGTGAGGAGCTCCGGCCTTAGAAATACCTTCCAATAACAGTAACCAATCGACAGTCGTGGTTGATTGCCACCTTAGCTGACTCGGCGTCCACTGTATCCATCCTTGATAGTAGTTTCAAGTCAACTTCCATCAAGGCGAGGGTATCATCATCGTCGTATTGCCGCTTTTGCTTATCATCTACCACAGCGTTGTCACTGAGTGATGAGAGATTGTCCTCAATCCCTGAGAGATAGTAAAGACTGAGCACAGCCACTCGATGGGATGAGCTCACTGTTGACGAAATAAGACGGGCATACTGTTCGAAATGAGGATAGCACATGGTGATGCCTGTTCAGATCGTTAACGTGGATCCGATGACAGGAGTTCTACTTGGTACGGTAACTAAGGCTCTTCCTATTCTCTCTTTCTAAGCTGAACTCTTTTCCCACCATCCGATCGATCACCTAACAATCGAACAACATGATGATGATGATGTCCCAGTCAAGTGCTTACAGCAACTTCAGCATCCGTCCACCAGCTCATATCCAAGTCCTCCTTAGGATAAGGACCACCACTGAAGCCTCTATAGCATCGAGGTGGTTTCAGCATCTACAGAGGTTCCTATAGGAGCCATACAAGAGGGCAGCAGCAGCAGTCTTACCTCCTCTCCCTCCTTACTACTATCATCAGTGGTATCAGGAATTCTGAGATGATGATGATGATGTTGCGAGAGATTGGTATGCATTACGATACTTTATAAAGATGGATGGCAACCTTTTCCGTGCTAGACGGTAGATGCCGTCATTGTCTGTAAGGAGGGTAGGCCGAGCAGCGACTACCTTCTCCAAGCACTGCTCCTTATCCTTTGACCAAGGCCGTGCAGTGAGGAACTATCGATGACTGTTAGCACTTGAGCACCCACATTATAGGCCCACTTCCACCAGGTCCGTCTGTATTTCGATGAGCATGTCTATGGTCCCGGCTGGGTGCCGAGGTAGCTGGAAGGTATACTTCTCAGTGTTCGCTATGATATCATCCACGATAGGACGTATGATGGACAATTTCAAACCCTCCCCTCTGCTACCATATCGTCCTACTAGACGGAATATCTAATTAGACACTTGTACAATAAGGAGCCCAATAGCTTTAGCATAATACGGCTCTCAGATCCTGTATGAGATCCTTGGTAAGGCTATCCTTCCGCTGGAGGATGTCCTCTAGGAAAACACTCAAATGCTGTAGGATGTGCTCTACAGTTGCCTTGCGTATACCAGGGATGTTCATAAGGAAACCATCGTTGATACTAAAGTGCACGATACTACTCCAGCTAGAGGTTACTCCCACACTCCTACACCGATCTGTTGGTGTTGTCGTTCTTGAGTAGCCGATCGAAGGCCTCCATCACCTCCTTCTCCCAAACCTTATAAAGCTCGCTCTCCATCGGAGCATTCCTTATTATGTTCTCTATAAGATCCTTCCCTTGGTCTACTATTGCTGAGAGAGACAACTACACTACACACAAGGCCTGGAGCCTCACATGATCCCTTCAGTTGCTCTTTGGAACGATTCAAGCTGGCAACAAGCGCATCGATGGCCTCCACTACAGCATGGGGGTCGTTACTCTTCGGCCCACACAATGGAGGCATGGGCAGATAACACAATGTTCCCATCACATTCTGCACACCATGTTGTGATGATGATGCACACCAACTATCCGGCAACAAGCATTCACTTACACCTCTCACAGGGTTTTGTTCATTGGCAATCTCCTTCACAGTTCTACCCAATACTTGTGGCAGTCGATGCTCCTCCTTATCGTAGTGTAGAGCTTGCATTAGTCTAGTGCTGTAGGCCCAGGATCCTGCAGCATCACTTATCCACGATGACAATATACTACCCACTCTTAGAAGAATCGCTGCTCTTTAGCCGATCGGCAAGGATCGTATCGGCCTCAGTGGCGGGCATGTATTCGACATAAGACCAACGACGATCATCATTGGTGAACTGCTTGCTATCAGAAAAGTACCTCATAAGGAGCCATGCCCAACCATAAGGAATCATCTGTCCTATTGTTATCCAGGTGAGTGACCGACAGAACCGCCAAGGAGTAGTCGTAAAACGAGTCCATTGCGATTAGATAGAGCTTACTTGAAACACTGAATAGCCACTTGCCCCAGAAGCTCCAACCTGCCTTTCAAAGCTATACAGACATCCAATGTAGGGATGCGGGCCAGAGGGATGTTACTGCTCACTGCCTTGCGCCACATGAATGCTATAAGATCATATCGTAGCTGATAATCACACTCATGGGGGCATATAGGTGATCTACTACATCATTATCGGGCAGTCTTCTAGTAAGGGTATGCATGTACTCCAGAGACACCACGTCGGCTAGCAGGGCAAAGGCCTCTTCCTTGCCTAAGTCCCTTACAAGAGCTTCTACCGGCCAATCACGAGCTGCCCAACTGGCTATGTTCCCTGCAAGGGGAAGGGATAGAGCAGTAGCATAGGGAGGTGATAATACATGGATCATCTTTGTACGACAACTGCCGTCGCTTGCTCTTCGCCCTCAACCATTGTACAGCCTCCTTAGAGTAGCCATATTCCATCAACAATACCAGGATCTATACTCGACAATACCGAACACGCTATCACTAGTGGCGAACCAAGTGACATGGAACTATCCACTACTAGACACTCAGATTACAGCCTTTCCTCACCGGCATAATCCCACGATCGAGAATCCAGTACATATTAGTCTTCCCTGTATCAAGGATAGCATCCATGTAGGTAGTTAGTAGGGAGACAGCGTTAGGCTCGATGTTGATACGATGCCGAATGAAGCATGCAACTTCAGCAGCATACCCTACTGCTAGTGTCTCTCCCGAGCTGAGCAATAGAGGCTACCATAGACAGGGCACTAGTGTTATAGGTACTACTATGATGTGGTGATGAAGTCGAACATGGCCTGTGGATACCTCAAGATTAGCTTGCGAGCTGTTGGTCCAGGACGGGGGACTATCAGCGGCAGAAGGCGGCGTACAACAGATTGTGAACCTAAGGAGTATATGGACAATTAGCAATAAGTAATTATCTCACAGACAGGTAGCAGTTGTGTTGCTAGGTGTGGGCCATAGCATGCAAAGATATCATCCACTAGAGTGTCCGCTAGGTCCTAGGCGAATGAGAGTGGAAGCATCCCGAAGGTTATCCTTGTTGTATGCCTCCTATTCACCTGCATGTTATCATTGACTATGATATTGAGGACAGCCCTTTTGAGATGAGGAGCTTGCTTGAATAACAGACCTTCGCTGACCTCATACAACCTCACTCTATCACCTGGCCCACTACTAAGTTGTAATAGTAGTATGAAGATAGTACCACTAGCATGAAGGTCTTTAACTAGAGTCTCTGCTGCCTTGATACGAACCTTAGTTGATGGAGTGAGTGCGACGATGGTCTCTAGTGTATCGACATCTTGAAGGACTGTTGCCAGGAAGAGGGCTATACCTAGTACATCAAGACCAGTGAATGTGCATCGATCATCCGACTTTGTCTTCGCGGACTGACTCAGCTGAGGCCGATCGGAAACCATACGAATCTCGCATTTGTAGGCGCAGTACGCTTATCTGTAATTTTCGACAGACATGTACGGTTGAATTAATCATATCCCATTTTATATGACGATCTCACATAGATGTAAATACCAAGATGATTAGGTAGTGTATCAGAGTACTGATATTACTATGAGCCCAGTTAGCCTTAGATATGTCGCTAGTTCCTTCACTGATGAGCTCATCAATAAGCTTATCAACGTTCTCCCGTGAGTGAGAGACTGCTAAACCACGGAGATACTTCTGCCTCTCGTAGACAGACCCTCGCGAGCTGAGTTGTGACTGTACTTCTGCGAAATCCTTGGGTGTTACCGCTACTGCCATCACCAGACGCAAACTGTGGTAACAACTCACAGTTAGCGTAGACCTACCAATAGACTCTCAAATGGCGAGTTCTATCACTCTACTCTCACGTGCATCTTCGACTTCAACACATTAGCCCATAACTTCCACACAAAACATCTTAACAACAACAACATCACTTTAAGCATGCCTTATCACATCAACAGCAAGAATGACTCCATACACACGATCAACTGCTCCCATGAGCGTGCAACCACAACTTGTGCATTTCGTATCTCTGATCGACCAAATCGTAAGCATAAGCCACCCCTAGATCCCTGCAGCGACGGATGGACGCTGCACCCAATGAGGTACAGCCCTCGGGGTAACCCGCATGGAATTCGTCCTCGAGTTCGACAGTGAACCTTAACATGATTATGCGCATATGCATGATAGATGAATGACCTACGTGGAGGTCTTTGCGGCATCGAGTGCATGCTTGGGCTCTTTGAGGAATAATTTCTCGGCGTAGGTGAGGAGCCTACCACTGGAATCCTCAGCATAGTGAACAACACAGGTTATCTCATCAGATTTCCCAGGTAGTGGGCATCCAAAAGCCTATCAAACGAACAACACTGTGGCGAACTCCAATACTATAATCATTTACTCTCCCAGAAGCCTTGGCATCCGCCATTTCTATGTTGAGTTCGTGCAGTCCTAGGTGGAAATGACCCAATAGCGTCGAACATATATTCTTCTCGTTCGCTTCTTTCAGCAAATCTACCACTTCCTTAGTGAGCATCACACTTCTCAGGAGAGTATGCCTAAACAAACGCCTATCACCATGGGTAGTCGCAACCATTGCAATGCAACATGCAGTATGACGAGTTAATCAAGATCCACCGATAACGCACTCGCTTCCTCGCTGATAACCCTTAGCCTTGTAAAAGATAGAACTGTCATGGACGCCCTTGTCGTGTAAGATTAGCTGAGTCCCGATCTTAGACTCGCTGATGTCACATGCGATCTCCTAAGAACAATATCACTTCATAAAATAACCATTACTGCAACCATAGTACCCTGTGAGGATCCGAAGACAAACGGCTCTTCCTCTAAAGATAACAAAGCAGTGTATTTAGGTCGGCGCCAGCTACTATAATTCCTACTACTACTACACAATAAGGATTCACCGAGATTCGTCGTGAACCGTTGAAACTGGAGGATACGACAGACCACACCCCCCGAGGTTTTGTGTGTAGAGATCAGCAAACACATATTGAATATATAGATGATCATATTGTGGAGATGAAGGTCTACGCAGTTAGTTTTTCTAGTATTAGTGCCACTATCACATGTACAGTAGGATTGTCGTGTAGGGACTCACCTCAAGAATACTCCTAGAAGCAACATGGACAGGGAGGAGCAGAGCCTGGAGGAGGAGCAGAGTGTAGCTGAGGTACTTCATATAATACCAGTGCAACTGCAAAGTTGATGAGCAATACTAGACATGGAATTTTTATGCTGCCCGAAGGGCGTTGTACCTAATCTTGCTCACTTGAGCTTTCCCAACGGTACATAGCAGCCTTTCCTGTTATTCGCGTAGCTAGACTCACGTTGTCATGGTATCCACTCCCCCTCCTCCTCGTCGTCGATACTCCTCAAGAATAATAGGTACAGTGAGCGGCAGGGAAGTAGCACCAACACCAGCTATGCTCTCGTCCCAGTCCGATGGTAGTAGTATCATCATGCCACTGCTGTGGTCAGTCTAGTGGTAGGCTCGAATCAGAGTTATTATGTATCTTCACAACGGATGCCTATTCGGACACCACGACGAGGCGGTGAACACTACAGTAGCAATAGAGGTAATAGTAGTACTCGATGAAAGATACCTCTCGGCAACTCACTGTGTAGATTCTATGCATGATCGGTACCTCTCGAGAGGCACCACTGGCCTAACATCTACCCAAGCTAATTATCTAGTAGCTATTGCAGTTGTAGTTATATCCTTTATTGGCTTATACGTATACTATACAGCACCTGTTGATGCTGTTACTCCAACTGTGGGCCCAACACTGACGTCAACTATACCTGATTATTCTAGGCGAGTAGAGAAAGAAGTGGTATTTGATAAGGTGTGGCAAGAGGAAAGGAAGGAGTTGCAAGACGAGCTAAAGCGGGCCTACGATGCTCTTAAGGCATTTAAGGAGCACTCCGCTGAGGATAGGAGGGCCCTAGCCAAGATGGAAGCTGATATCGTCCAGAGGGATGAGCGCATACAGGACCTTGCACAGGAGAGTACTAGAGTAGAGCAGTTGGAGAGGCATATACTTGGGCTCGAGGAGGAGGTCCGAACCTTACAGGCTGCTGCTGCTACTACCCAACGCAGTATGCCGGTGGATGATGCTCATGTGGTGGTAGAGGAAGAGAATGGCTTCTACTACTATGTTGTTGGTGTGGCATTGGTCGTACTGGCATTGGTGGAGATCCTCTCATCTAGGGCTGATGCTAGGCTTCAGGTGTACTCTGTAGAGGCCAACGAAAGGGTATTATGATGGCCATCTATTGGTGGTGACGTTTGGTTGATGCAGGCAAAGAAGGCTACTACTGTCCTCAAGGAGGCAATGGAGACTTGTAGGGCATTGACTGAGGACAAGGAGGCTCTAATGGAGCAACTGGAGAAAGCCATACACGATAAGGAGGAGAATGCCTCAGCTCTGGCTGACTCCTTGGCGACGGTGAGTGGCGTTACTACCTTCGTTATCCGTGTAAAGTGCTGTCCAGTTGGCCTCTAGTCGGGATGAATTTACGAGGTTCTCTGAGGAGCAAGCCAAGAGGGAGTTGGCTCTGCTTGATCGAGTACTGTACCCAACCCTATCCTCACCTGTGATCTCCTCCCCTTGCAGTTGGCGGATAGCCAGAGTGCTATGTCCAGTGCTCGTTCTATGGCCAGTCGAGCATTGGATCTCAAGTTGGCTCCCTCTCACGATGCTCATCAGAAGCCACCGGCATCTACTTTGGATGGCAAGTTGATGTCCCCTAGAGAGGAAAGGGAAGGTAGTAGTAGAGCAGTGATAGCAGTCGACTTGAATGGAACCTCAACAGCATCGACCTGTCCACCGTCTAATGTAAGCACAGCAGTGTGCTGTGGTCCTGTTGTTGTTAATGATGATGATGAAGGGTTAGAGACCCATTCAGTAGTGGTGCATAGACAATATTCAGCAACTACTCATCAGGTAGGGTAGTGCTGCTCCCCTTGTAGTAGTAGTAGTAGCATTTGTCGTCAGACCACTGGTGGTACCGCTTCGGATACCCAACCTATGACCTCTTTCTTGCTCCCATCCTTCACTCCAGCTAGGAAGGCTGTGCAGGTAGAATGATCAAAGCAGTCCTTACGAAGTGATGCCTACTCCTGTTCTCTAGGCTGAGGAAGTATATGATACTGTAGTTGACGAAGAGAGTGTAGATAGTAGTAGCACACCCCATAGAGGGACTAGATGCAGTGACGATTCTTCGGGTGGTGTCGCTGAAGCTGTGGGGGATCTCGCTTCACCATGGCGGGCATCAGCAGGAATAATGTCCACTCCTGTTACTGTGAGATATGATTCTTATGAGGAAGAACAGAGTTGGATGACCCCCGGTAGTAATAGCAATAGTAGTAGTGTTTATGAAGATGTGCTTGACAGGAGCGGACTCTCCTGAGTCGGTTACACAGCTATCCCCTGGTGACACTATGCAGCACCATCATCAGCAAGAGCCCGAGGAGGAGGAAGAACTGAGTCCACTACAGATGGAGACCCCTGTGAGGGAAGGTAGGTGATGAGTGCTCCTTATTGTGGCCAGCATCCTACCTAGCAGTCGACGACGATGCGGCCATAGCAGGGCAGCATCCTGATGGAGTTAATCTAGTTAATGTTGTGTCTAACATCGATGCATTGGTAGTAGGGTGATTACATACAACACAGGGTAGCCCATCTCATCAGATACGTAGTAATACTGCTGCTGCCGAGGGTATGAGCCCACTAGATGTGGTATCAGAGGCACCATCAGTGAATAGGACAGCAGTTATGGCTAACAGGAGGAGGAGAGTTAGTAGTATAGACAGGACCACTTGCCCTTTAAGAACACCAAGGAGCAACTCTCCTACTAGGAAGTACCTTACATTGCCTTCTGAAAGTCGTTTAGTCGAGTAGCAGTAGGTCCTCTACTCCAGCCTCGACTCCACCTCGCGCCAATGTTAAAATAGCAGGTCATCCTAAGTCCCATCCTAGAGCTCATGTTAATAGATTACCACTAGATAGTAGGTGTTGTCCTCAATATGCTTTGATGATAGTGGCCATACTCACCGTCAGGGCTCAGCTTCACTACGGGTGCCACGACTATAGGGTATAGTAGGCGACGTCTAGTAGACCCACCGCCGGATAGCGCTAGACGTGGCTCTACCGGTTCCATGTCTGACCATCGTCCTCATGAGGAGTCAGCGCATCGATGTGTCGTGATGGCCCCTAGTAGCAGTGGTGGAGTAGTCACTAAAGGAGGCCTAAGTAGGCGTAAAGAAGGATATGCTACTAGTGTGACGACACCAACATCCTCTGTTAAAGGGAGGTAGTAGTACTAAGAGGCTCTTGAAGAGGGCTATGTCTTGTGGCTCAGTCAATGTTCCGCTGACCGTCCAAGATGGCGGAACTGAACTGCATTATGATAACCATTTATCCGATAATGACTTTATCATTATATTAATAATCAATACCTATCTGAGCCATATTTATATTACTGCGCATCATCCTAGTAATGATAATATGGTTTCGCATGGTCTACTGCATAGTACTATCTACGAGGTTGTGTTATCTAGTAAAAGGGTTAATGATATCCCTCTTGTCAGTTCCTGGGAATGTCATCAGTGTCGGTATCAGTAGGAGGAGTCCATGGGACATTTGCCAGCTCACTCCAGGATACTAGCAGCTTATTACTCCATCTACGTCCAGGTACCTCTAGTGTTGCTCCCACGTGGCTTCAATATTGACTAGGTACGATATCGGAGGCTGTTGGTAACGTTAGAGAGACTCGGTTACATCAATGTGTCCAGATAGTGAAGGCATCTGATTTCGGTAGTAGATGCACCGACAAACGCTATATTGCTTGGCTTAATACCATATGTCGTCATGACCATGATAAGACTGCAGTAGCAGCAGCATTAGTAATAACACCACCACTTTACTATTGCTCTAAGCCCATGTACTGTCAGTGTGATATAGCTACTCAGTCCATAGCAAGTACTAGCATGGACCCACATAGGTGTGCTAGAGTCCTTAAGCTAACGGAGGACTTCATCCATAGGGGCGATTGGATAATTAACTCTGTTATATTACTACTAGAGCGGTGTATACGCCCAGGTACCACTGTATGGGGTCATAGTGACGTCATGAGGGCACTCACTGTATTCAGGTGACTTTAGTGCTGGTATTGTCCATCTGACACAGTCATTGTTATCATTCCTGCTTACTAATACTGATATGTTCATCTCTAAGAAGGAGATTAAATTGTGTCAAGCCACGTTCTTTAAAGTCGCTACGTTATTACCATGCTATATACAGTGTAAGGACACATCTACTGTGCCTACTGAGGACCTATCTACACAATGCGAAACCCTTATCACTAAATATTGGGATAAATGTCGGCCATGGATAGCAGCAATAGGAAGAGATCTCATACGGGTTCTACTACCCATATCTAAGTGCCAAGGTGTATCCGATATTTGGCGTATGCTTACTGTAGGAGATACTACTGGCAAACGCCTTGCTAAAGTGAGTATTAGAACCCTTATTGTTGAGGTTAGCACGACGTTGGAATACACTGTTGGAATATATGTTCGCTTTTCTCAACTGAGCTCACGAGTTTCCCCACTGATCATAGTAGTTTATAGGCGAATTCTGGTAGAGCTGTGCAGAAATCGATGAGAATTCCCCAAAATTTTCGTATTGTCATCAATAACACATGTAGTCATATTTTCCCATTACTATTCGTAGGTATGTAGTCTGAGTACACCATGTTGGCTGCATCGGCATCTTATATCACCTACTGAGGAGGAGGAGCTCTCAGCTCTATTCTCTGCCTTTCTCGCTGGTAGCCAGAAGCAGATGCAAGACCAGTACTTCGAGAAGTCGTTCAAAGTGACTCCGCTGCCGCCAGACCCTCGTAGCACAGACTTCTCCTTTTGTGTAGGCAGAGGGTCTACTACTGGGTCATCACGTTATCCATACCACTCGAGCAGTACTTTGTGGAGATTTACATAATCTCGATACCGAGGTTAGTCGTAACAGTATGATACCACCACAACAACGAGTACTCCGTTGGCACTTCCTTGGCTGGTTGGCCATCATTGTTGGCCAGTTCATGAGCACCGAGGAACAGGTATTCCTTAGCTATCTCCAGTGTATACCACTCTTATCATTAGGCCTACTTCCGATTAACCCTTATCATTGACTGCTTACTGGGAGGTGTCGGCGAGCCAATGCAGGCACCACCATCAGAGCTGCAGCAGCAGAAGCAGGGAGACACTGTCATCATCGATGAGGACGTTTTGGTGAGTCAATCAGGTCCTTGATGACGATACTGATATAGTTATGTAGGTGAAGTCGTTAGTGGACAGCAGAGGTAGGCTCATACCCACTAGTTATCGTGAGTGGGATCCACATCTACCGCCTCCTATAACTCCACCACCACCCCAAGGTGCTGGTGGCAAGGAGAAGCCTACTATACTTGATGGCTTTATACCAGTGCATGACCTTATATACGAGGTAGTAGTAGTGCATCTGGCTGTCAGCTGTGATGGACGTGCTACAGGAACTCCCTACTGAGCGCTCAATAGCGGTACCGTTACTGATAGTATTGGGGTTGTCGATAGACAACTTATTACCATCATCATCATCAGCAACAACAACAGCACTGAGGCTAACACGTCAGGTAGTAATGGGAGGGTGATGCAGAGCCTAAGGCTATTCGTGTGGAGGTGTGGCCTCCTCAGAACCTAGCCAACTCAGTCTGTGAGACCTTATTCCAGTGTGCTGTGGAGACACTACGGCGAGGACGGGATTATAGTAATGATACTCTCGTTGGGAGGGTCGAGACTCTCTGTGTCACGGTGAGCCTCAGCAGTAGCGCCCTTCTCTGTGCATTATCGTCATCATCATTATCAGGCTCGCCTACCGCAGTCATTGGTTGTATGCTTCGATGCGGTATCGAAAGCAATAGATATGCTGTGTGCCAATCGTGAAGAGTATAATACCCCGGAGTGGCTAGATAAGTCCCCAAGGGCAGTACTACAACGTATCATACTCCCTGATCCGGCACCACCTCCAGTGATTGCATCTTCTAATGATGTACTATTAGTGGGGTAGACGATATTGTAGGTAGTGTTGTGATGGTCAGGAGCTTGAAGGGCCTATCATGGAGGAGGATGATGAAGGGAATTACTCTGAGATGAGCGATACTGAGGGGGATACAGCCTCTGTCATGACTGAGGTCGCCTCCCTCCACCCTCATCCATCTACAACAACAGTAGAGCACCCAGATGAAGGGGAGCAGCAGCAGAGTAGGGCAGAGATAGGGCAAGAGGAGGTTGGTGGTAGTAGTAGCAACCCAGTAGCCCAAGATGGTAGTGTTGAGAACAACAAGGGTAGTAAAGTGATGGAGTTACTAATGCTATTACAGAAGGGATGATGATGATGATGTTCTTCTGATGTGTTATTATAACGATTATTGAAAATTCCACAAGAGTTTCGAAGTGGTAGTAAGAGCTTAGTGTTATTCCATAGAACACTTCTTCGCAGATTTATTTGTCTTTATGACTTCTCTAGCGACCCTGATATCATCAACCAAGCCGTTGATGATCGTCTCGGTTACCTTGGTGCTGCTGGTGGTAGCCTACATAGTTTGGATATTCGAACTACCAGACTCGGAAGGAGCCAATTCAACGTTGATGATAGTCCTCATGTCCACCCTCATTGCTGTACCAATAGTAGTCCTGCTGTTCCTGGCTAGTGGGATGGTTAAGCACCCCTTCTATCCTACGTCGCAACAGGGTCATAGGGATAATACCATTATCGATATGGAGAATGGCAGTGATGGATCGATTCACTCGATGGCTATGGGGAACATCATCACTCCGCAGAGTTTCTCCAAGGCCTGGGATCATTGGCTGCAAGAGAACACCACTACTGCTACTATTGATGACCGTGCTTCAGCTCATACCGATGAGCCATGTGCTATATGTCTGTCAGAATACCAAGTCGGGGAGGTTTCCAGACGCCTACCATGTGGCCATACCTTCCATAATTACTGCTTCCGTAACTGCTTCACCTGTCGTCCTAGAGGATATAGGCAACATCATATATGTCCATTATGTCGGGCAGTACTGGGGCCTACTCTTGATGAAGAGGGTAAAGGATGAAAGGGCATTCTAATGGCCAGCAAGGGGAGGCAGCCGCTCATACTGTGGCTGCCAGTACGTCTTCTTGAGATGGCTTGTTCCGGAGTATTCTTATCTACTAGATTTTTCTTATAATTTCTCTTAGACTGAGTGGACTTGCCTCGCAGATTGTTGTATATCACCCTCACTCGCCCCACCATGGCAGCACTTATGTTTTCCTTATTGATGCATCACAAGGACTCCAACAAGAGGGGCGGCTTCGTCCGTACTAATATGTATATACACGTCCTCACTGCCTTAGTGATGTTTTACCAGGCTTGCTGTTGAGAATAATGCAGCGAAAGCTGCTACCGCCTAGCGCTTGTATGATACCCTACAGGCCATTCTGGTAGTGGTATTATGGCTGTGGGTGTAGCACTCTGATCATATTACCGCCTCACTCTGCCACCTTATCTGCTTCTACTCACGTTATGTTGTGTTAGTAGTGCATGCCTTGCCATTATTGCTTAGTTCTGTATTGGAGGTTCTACATTTTATATGCCCCCCTCAGCGTCCAGTATCGACGAGTTAGTGAGTGTCGCTTCACAGGCTGACCATGCAGACCATCAGCGCCGCCGTCGTCATCAGCATCAGCACCCTTCACTTTTCAAAGATATTTTCCACACTGGTGTCTGGGCGCCTGAGTTCAGAGCAATGTGGTATGCCTGGCTCATTATGTATATCAGCTTGGGTGTATTCATTGGTATCTCGGGTGAAAAGTGGTCTATATTAATAGCATACCTTGCCTTCTTCGGAGTGCTCCCTCCAATTGCTATAATCAAGCATATATTCACCATAAAGAGGAAGCAAGCGGCTGAGAGGAATAGACAGAGTCGTGATCGAGCACTAGAGTTGGCTAATGATAAGCTTGCTACTGAGGAGTGGTTAAAGAACAATTGTGAAAGGATGATGGGAGATGATCCAAGATGTATATGTTACTGTAAAGATGAGTGCGCTATCTGCTTATCGGATTATCATCCTAGCGACGTCCTCATCCTATTACCATGTCATCATGTATATCACTTACAATGCATTAAGATGTTATTGGATTCTCCCATGTCCTATGATGGCAATGCCCCTAGATGCCCCCTCTGTCGTGCACGCCTTGGTGATGAAGTCCTCATGCCTGAGCCAGCCAAAACTGCTGTCGTCGATAATGCTGCTGCTGCTGCTGGAAACAGTGCTATTCAAACGTTACAAGAAGTGGTGTAAACAAGCACTGGTCTTTATTGCATTGACTGTATTGCATATATGTCCCTGTATATTATGTAAGATTGGAGGGATGGCTGATAGAGTATCCTTCTTTGGGACGATCGCTCTTCTTCTTGTCGTCGTCGTTTTTAGTGCCCTGCTGTTCTCTCTATCGAATGATCATCACTTCCTGTCTTCATCGTCTTCTAAGCGGATGGGCTTCCTAAGAGGGGTCTTTGCGCAATTCATCTTTTCTGAGCCTGCTGTAGCTGCTACTGATGCTGAACAGGCTGTACAGTTATGAGCATAGGAATCGTTGTCATTGTTGGATGATGATGATAATGATCCAACACTGATTCTACTGTATAGGTGATGGAGTCGTCGTCGTCGTACTCGTTCACTGTTCCTTAAGTGATGGAGTCGTCGTCGTCGTCGTACTCGTTCACTGTTCCTTAAGTGATGGAGTCGTTGTCGTCGTACTCGTTCACTGTTCCTTAAGTGATGGAGTCGTCGTCGTATTCATTCACTGTTCCTTAATGATTTATCTCATTCTCTCGACGGTCTGCTATACGGTTATACTCATCGTAGTGATGCTGCTCCCTCGAGCATCGCTACTCTCATCACCAGAGTCCGATCACCGGACCATATTTGTTGAATCGTGTTCGACTATATCTACCGTCGGTTATCCACCATCACTTTATCTAAGCCTTATCCCACCACAATTTGTGTTGCTGCTCGAGAGGTTGCCACTGTCAGGTTCCCAATATGCGAGGTGCATTTTCCTTTCTTCAGTTTATGGTTCTCATTTCTGATGGACAATCTCAAGGCACTGTTTCGAAGGGATACATACGCCCCGGCCTTCTCCAAACGATTTCGTTTTATATGGTTACTTTATTTGATAATATACGTCGTCATTGCAGCTGTACTCATCATAATGGTGCAGTTTGACTACATCTTCTTCACTTACTGCGCTGTAGCTGCTGTCATACCACCCTCTATGATTATACGATATTGCTACAAGACCGAGCAGAGAGAGGAGGCGGCCTATGAGGCTATGATGCAAGCACATCTTGATGGCACTGATGAGGCTGGTATCAGACGCCGATGTCGTCAATGGCTTAGACGTAGTTGCTGTAAGATTGATGGTTCGGAACCTACGCTGACTGGCAGGGTCTGTCCCATATGTCTCGGTGACTTTACTATAGGGGATAAGGTATGGGTCCTGCCATGTACTCATGCTTATCATGTACAATGTCTTGATATAATGCTTAAAGAGAGTAGACCAGAAGATGGTAAGATATTCAGATGTCCAATTTGTCGTGTGGAACTGGGTATTGCTGACCAACTTCATTCTACTCTTGCCGCAGCTAACCCTACACCTCGTACACGTGGTATCACTAGTGGTAACCGTTCCGTGGTCGTAACGGGCCAATTCGCCGACGACGACGACACTCCGAATAACCACTCCAATACAGCATATGGTCCGGAGGCTTATGTGAATGGAAACCCATATCACATTGTAGATGGTGGTCGTGGTGTTGATGGACGTGAGAGGAGTAAGACGAGTTGTGTAGCCGTCTTGGCGAGAGGGAGACTCGTCTCGGTACTGTGATGATGGCATCAACGATCACCATTAGCTGGGCATAGTATTTGGTGTATCTATTCTTTAGTCGATTCCCACTGAACTTCTATGGCTAACTCTATTTTATTCATTATATTGCTTTTTACTACTGGACTGCTTTTGCTGCTACTTAGTGTTTTCTGTCCTACCATCCCTCTGTCTGGTATCATCACCAGCAAATATTTCTGCATGCTCAACATGGTGGTAGAGGACTCAACATAGCCCATGTCTACGATGAGTGAGTAGTACATCATTACAGTCCTTTCCTTCATCGTCAACCTTCATTTCACCATCATCAATACCCTTCTTCTCTTGAGGTTGATGTCCATTCCTCGCAGACATGGAAGAATCTCCAAAGTGACGGTTGCCCTGATGCCGAGTCGATGGTGATAAACTAATTTATATGAGCCCATGCCCCTCCCCCTTCCCATTGAGCCTCGTGGCCGCTAGCAGTTCCTCCAGCTTTGCTCAGACTGTTGTTCTCAACATCCATCTCGGAGTATCAACTCGAGAGGTGGCCTTTGCTTCATTCCAGTGCTTCAGTTGTTGTTGTTCTACCTCTCTCTCTCCGCAATAACACATTGACGATAATCGGAGAATACAAGGCTCCCCTTGGTTGAGCCGCTTTATAGTAACTTCGCGTGATGGTTAGTGATAACCACCCCTTTGGTCATCACTACTGTGCTCCCTTGATATTGCGTTCTCAACAGTGACACTCAATTCTGAAAGTTTCATACTTCTCCATTGATCATGTCCCTACGGCTCTCCAGAATCCATCCAGCCTTCCAACGCCGGTATCTGGGACTATGGTTGGGTTGGCTTGTAGCTTGTCCTTGCGCGGCTGTCGGCATCGTTATGTCGGTATCTGGACAAGGGTATCTAATCTTAGTTTATATCATCATATGTGGTGTTGTGCCTCCACTATTGATTATGCAGTATGCTCACAATGTTGCGAAGAGAGAAGAGCGCCAACGGTTAGAGGTGTTGAATCAGAGGACTTCTCCACCTAAGGTTGACCGCAACGAGATCGCTGCTTTGCATCGTGAATGGGATGAGTGGTTGAAGGAAGACTGTGAAGATCTCCATGGTTCAGACCTTACTGGTGATGAGGAGCCTTGTGCAATATGCCTTATTGATTATACAATTGATGATGAGATCGTTAAGCTACCATGTGGACATGAATACCACACTGATTGTATTCGGTTACTGTTCGATTCATTCCCTCGAAACGGCACGTTGTATCACAGATGCCCCCTATGTCGTGTCGAAATAGGTAGACGGCTCAAGCAGACATCTCACAGCAGCTCACATCATGATACAGTGAATGATGCATCATCACCATCAATGTCGGCTTGACATTGTTAAATATATTTTTGGCTTGATTCCGCAGTCCCAAGAAGTAGTGCTTGTAGTGTCTGCAGGAAGAGCTTTCTCACACTCTATTCAAAGTATTCCCTGAAGCACGTGTTTTTGTCCAGCCTGTCACTTATCGTTGTTCAATATTCGGTGGATGTCCTTTAGCGTGCTTCCGGAATCCTGTTTGACATTTGCATCAATCTCCTGTGCAAATGTACAACCTTGTGTATTCATACTAAAATAGAGCAACAAGCATTGAGTATCAAACTCATATTTTTTCAATTGTTCTATGCTTAGAAGTCTACGGACTCGCCATTGCATTTTACTAGCTAGCTCGAGGATTATCTCTTCCTTAGTCATCGTATGATGTGGTATGACCGTTCGGTTGTATTAATGTTCCAAGTGTGTGTTTCTGTCTCTCCTGAGAAATTCACTTGGGGATATATCGATAAAAGATTCCGAGAAGTCGTTTTGTTTGTTCCCTATAGTTAATAATACCACTCTGGATTCAGCAAGTTTTCGCGGCACATTGTATGATACCGACACCGTTAATGTCACAATTTCAAAGAGTTGATGTATGATGTCGAAGCGTTGCTATTAACGAGCATGCCCGGCGCGGCCTTATCAGAGTAACGATCATACATTGCTCAACATCATTGCTAGCACATGCTCAGGTGAGCTCTCCAGTTCCACACTAGAAACATCATCCTACTGCTATAGCCTTCTCTGAGTGTTGTAGGCGACGAAGACTAATAAATGTCTTGTCATACTCACTGATGATGGGTTAAAAGCTCTCAAGTTATGTTCCAGATCGTGTAGGGTATGTGCCTCTGAATAATTTCAATCACTTCCGAGCTCACTTGTCAACATATAAACCCTGATTCATCAAACCGGTACGTGACGATGCAGACTGTGGAGGCTAGCGTCCGTCCTACGCTGTAGCGCCCATGCAGCAAGCTATGCGACACGCCGGCTACTCCGTCACAGCTTAATTTTCAATGGCTTCGATATGGACTTTGTAGGAAATTCGAGCTACTTGTACCTTCCTTTGGAACGGTGTTCCAGTGCTATTGACTAAAGGCTTCTTCACTTTTGTGTATCGAAATGTTAGGTCCATACAGCGCGTAGTACACGTGACCCCGCTGGAAACTGGGACTACAAAGTCACAACCCACGATGACTCATCGACTGTTAAACACATGCCTATCACATCCTAACAAAGCATTCTAAGGCAAGCTCGAAGCACTCAGGAAAAAACCAGATAGAGGTACAAGAATAACACTGAAATTGACTACAACACAATTATTTGAGGCACATGCGAAAAAGTAAGCGTTGACAGGTTGGCAGTATATGGCCAGGTAGAAACCAATAGTACACCAGATAGTACTATTAAGTAATTGTTGAACTAGGAAATTTAGGAGGTACTGCGATATAAGGATGATGAGAAACGTTTAAGGAAAGGAGTTAAAGAGTAACCAACATTTCTTCTTCCAAAGCCGGTAGGTTAGGAAGGACTGCTGATTCTGCAACACCACCATGCGGATTTGGTTTAAGGAACTCACGCACGAAAGCTCTCATCTCTTCAACACTTGTTACATACTCCTTAGCTTGGACCATAGCCTCACGATCTCGTGACGCATCCTCTATAGTCTTCCTCAACGGGCCATAAACTCTTTTCTTATTTACATATACAGTACTTACATAACCATAAGGATTTCTCCAAACACCAGGGGGTGCGCCATAGCTCTTTCTTCGACCATAGCAACTCATATTCGTATTAGCATTACTGCTACTAAGGTCATTCAATCGACCTCCGACTTGTGACCGAGGAATACCAGTGGCTGATCAAAGACATAATCATTACATGGATTATCCTACTACTATCATTACTACCTCCTGGGAAGGTGAATGTCGGCATCGGGGAAGCTAGCGTAGGCTGTTGTTGTTGTTGCATTTGGTCGTGCCCTTGCTGATGACTGATCGGCATACTGCCGTATTGTGGTGCTTGAGGATTACTGATGGTGGTAGTAGCCATGGTTGGATAAGCATTCGATGACAATGTTGATGTTGATGATGCAACAGCATTAGTAGTAGTAGTAGTAGAGGGAGAAGTAGCACCCGTTGCGAAGGTGGACGCAGAGATATTATCGCACGGGCTCAAGCTTGGGGTAGATACATTGTTGTTTGACGTGCTCGTAGCAGCAGTAGTAGTAGCGGGAGAAGCCGCACTTACACGCGAAAGCAACGCATTATATGCAGCACTTGCAGCTCCTGAAAATACACATACTATGCTGCCCATCTCGGCGCTGCTCACTTACCTGGGTTGCCTCCTCGTTGACTGTTAAGCAGTTCCAAAAGGCCTAAACACGCGTTAGTTAAGACAGCATTCTCCGCTTCAAGTTTCTCGGATTTAGTCCGAGTAGGGCCACCAACAGGCGGCAGCATAGCTGCTCCTCCTGCTGCTGCTGCTGCTGCTGCCTTTGGAGTTGTGGTGGTGGATGTTGATAATGGAGATGCAGGTAGTGGTGCTGCCGGTAAAGGGCTCAGACTATTGCTAACATTACTGCTTGCACTTGTACTGTATCCACTGTCATCACTCAATGATGAGCACTCCAAACCAGTGGATGTCGTTGATGCAATTGTTGCTGGGCTCGCTGAAATAGCAACACTAATCCGAAAATGAGCACTTGCTAAGGAAACCGTGCATGGCTTTTACTCAGATATAACTGTGTATAAGCGTGACAATTACATTCCAAGCTTGTACTAGTAGCGTGAGAGCTAAAGACGCTATGAACAACATCATAAACTACAGTCGGAATAATAATGAGCGAGATGGCCCCAACCAACTTACGTGGAGTGAGCTTCGGGCTGTCACAAGGTGACCGAAGCAGATCGTTGTCATCATCGAAATTGAGTGTGAGTGACGGATGTGCTGTCGCAGTAAGCGAGGAAGTTGCAGTAGTAGTAGTAGTAGTAGCAGAAGACTGTTGATAGTTTTGAGGAGCCGAAGTAGTAGAAGAAGAGGCAGGCAGAATACCAAATCCCTGTTGGAGCTGGAAGTGTTGCTGTCCTTCTTCGTGCTGCTGCTGCTGCTGTTGTTGATGATGATCGTTGGTTGAGAACATTAGCAAGAAGTAACTTCATCAGTTATGGGTAACGTGACACATTCGATAATAATAAAGTCGCGCTAGTAACCACAAAGCATGGTAGACTGATCTATAGTGAAGTTCAACTTAACTATCATGCTTCATAATACCATCACAATTCAGTTTATGAAGTATCATATCGGTGATGGACAGATGCATTAATACATTCCTCAACGACGATACCAGGAGGACACTATCCTCTGTCCCGACACTTGTGTAGACGACGACGATTGCACTCATCGCTCGCCTTTGTAATCGATAAGCATGATTCGGCGTGCACACATTTACGCCCTGATTCTAATCAAGTACTCGCCATGTATCTTGGAGTTAGTAAGAGAAGTAGAAGCGACTTATCGCATGACGATGGACTCTGCTCCAACGAAGTCGTTGTAATATGGTTGTATTCCGTTGGGATTCCATTATTGGTGCCTTCATCAGAGGCACTCTAGTCTGACGATGCAGGGCGGCATTGAACCTCCCCTTCTACTACATGTTAACCCCGCGTTATTGCGTAGCACTAGGATGGCAAACGAATCAAAAATAGCGTCAGGTGAGCAGCATGGCTTTACCCCTTCTTGTGTTTATGAGGTTGTTTACAGGGTTCAATGCTGCTAGAGGCTTCTGGCAATCACCAAATAAGTACTTTGGCTCGGCAGAGAACTCAATGTTGCCGAATGCAGGCGCTAATGCGAGAGCTTCCACGGCTCGAGCTGAGCTCAATGCAATACTCACTGAGGCATGCTTTAGTAGGCTATTAGGTGTTGTTAATAATTTTGATTCTCGATATTAGAACATGTGTATACACTAGTGCCGTATCGTGTCGGTGGATCCATCCCCCCTTTACAGGTATGCAACATCCACCTGCAGCTTTGTCTGTTGGACAGCATATACGTGGTGGGAACGGTGGCTGTATACTGCCATCAATGGATAATAATCCCTCATGCTATGCATCAGGCAAAGCACACACAAGTAACAGCGTTTTCCCTGGTGCTGGTGATGAGAGCTTCTCATCACTGAGTCGGCCCTCTAGCAATACTTCCAGCAACCCCATAGGTGAGATATTCAGCTGTGTAGGGTACCTATAACCGTATTTGTCGCCTCAAGGTCTTTCTTTTACTGCTGACCAACGAAGAAATGATCCTGTATATATTGCTGGTTCCGCACTGGGAGGTTCCACGCTTCACGTGGAACGGAATAGTCGCGGAGCTAGAAGGAAGGATTATGATGCTCCTACTGGAGTATGGAGGAACCCTTATGGTTTCGTAAGTACTATTTATGTTGAGAAACGTCGTGTCTATGGTCCCTTGAGGAAGACTGTTGAAGCTGCTTCCCGTGATAGGGAGGCCTTACTCAACGTTAAATATAGTATTACCTCTGTTGAAGACATGAAGGCCTTCGTGAGAGACATGCTTAAACCCAACATGCACGGTGGCGTTACTTTATACCCCGGTGGTGTTGACACCAATTTGCCTCGTAATAATGCTTGCCTACGAAGAAACAGAGGGAGAAAGTCTATGTCCGAGAAAGCTCCTATTTTGTCACGAAACCAGTGTATGTCGTCTCATCAGTCGTATAACGCCAATGACGAGCTTATAAACATTTAGATGGAGGTACCGATGTACACAGTAACTTTTTTCGTCGTTGTTCGCACTGACCATTGCTGCATAATCATTCTTACTCTATTTTTTGCCGTATTTACACGGTAAGTCGGCAAGACAATTGAAAGGGGTTTCAAATCTCATGATCTCACTCTATGTCAAGGCATGCCACATCTCTACTATTGTTGTACGTGCTTGTGCACTGATCATACAACGTTGTCATGTAGGGATGCTATTGCTTCATTCGACAACGGCTGTATTTATCGGCTCTCTCACTGAGGCTCCTCTGTGTTCTCGGCATCATGAATCGGTGTAGTGGTTTGCCATCTACTACCATACATAGTGTAACCTGAGCTGACTGTGTTCTTTATGTAGGGGTACTATAACAGTTCATTACCTCTACCAAAGTCACTTCACTAGTACTCTCAAAACATCCCATATCCAGGTAATAGTATTACCTGTAGGCATGGTGCCGGAGGGTACCGTTCGCAATATTCTAACGCTTCACAAGAAATAGTTGAGTTACTCGAGGTGGGCGAAGTGAGATTATTTGATTGATAGTGTGCATCCCAATATAGTCAACTGCTGAAACATATTCCGAGCCTATCAACTCGAGGATACGAAATTCCCACGAGGCAGAACTTGGGAGTGTAGACCGTAAGTGGCTCTGTTCTGACCTACAACATCCTCATCAGTGTCAACGATCAGTTGTAGGCCACTACGGCAGCCGTAGTACGGTTAGTAGGACACGAGAAGTGTCCGACTCCATACCCTTCCCGGATCGAGTCAGCAGCCTCTAATATCCTACCTCCACATCCAGGAAACACATGGCTGGATTGAGCTCGTTTCCACCATTATAACAGCAACACGGCTACACGGCTGTACTTATATAGCTAACACTTCGCTATCATTGAACTACCACACATCTCAAATCGTCCTTGGCGCACACAAGTGTCTGTTATGCGCATGGGCTTTGCGTGATAGTTTCGTTCACCCCGATTCTCTTGCGTAGGTTTGCTACCAGGATATGTCGTAGCTCATCTTCCTCGACGACGTTGAAAGAACTGGGATATAGTGTCATCGGGTTTGCTGCAAGGCTCGAGGTGCACTGACCGTTTCGGTGCTCGCGCGGTTCAAGATTCAGATAGATCGTATCTCATAAGAGGCACACACGGTTTGAGGCAAATCTACATCACTAGCAGAACCCGTCGCTTCGCTCCGGGGTTCTCTAGCTCGCTGACGCTCGGGGGTGTAAGCGATATGTTAAGATACACCAGTTAAATTATGTCCTTGTTGCACTGAATCGAGAACGTAGACCTATGCGTCCTTGGAAGTCTCAGGTTGAGATGAAAAGATCAATGTTATACGGAGCGTGACACTTTTTCAAGTAAGTCACGAGATTTTCGATTTCTTTTCCAACAAGGACAATTCCCTCTGAAATTGGAGCACTCGATACCCAGTCACATAGCGGATACCATATTAAGAGGAATAGGTGACACTCGTAACCGTAACGGTTAAACCATTCCATAGATATTCAGACAAGCGCCCATTCTGACCGCTCTCAACCGTGCCAGTTTCTTACGCAACAATCACCGTACTATGCCACGCTCCTTATTCATTCTCAAGCTAACACTTTCGGAGTAACTTGAGAACACGATTCTGCTAGCGGATCGTATGATAGCAAGGACACAACATAGAGTCGCTCAGAGCCGCCCGCTCTGGAGCACAATCTAATCATTAGATGTTACTAACATCATGTTAGTGTGGATGATATGAGATAGTAGCTAGCACATGGTGATTCACATGCGACTGTATGCTATACTGAGCTCTGTCCAGTCATATGAACACACGATACAACAGAGTCGTCGAAAACTCAGCTTGATAGTACACTGCATTGAATAGATTGAAGCGAGTCGGGCAAACGATGATGGACTTAAGTACTTAATCGGGTAGTAGCAAGTCGAACTCCGGATACGAACTTCATAAACCTGATGCGTCTCCATGAATTGCAGATCAAGATGGCGAATCATTCCCTCATGCAGGCTTTACTGTATATCCATGTTGAGTTTAGTCTTTAAACTTATCTGACTTAGAGTCTCCAAGTTAGAGAACCCGTCGCTTCGCTCCAGAACTCTCAAGCTCGTTTTTGCTCAGAGTAGAAGCAGACAGTGAGTGGAACCCTAAGGCCTATTTCACAAGAAACGCTCCTTAAGGTGCACCTTTAATTTAGGAGCAAGGGACAAGGAGACTTACACCTTACGCGAGGTGCTTTCACTATAGTTGCACCTCGTGCTCCGTACTGAGGTCCGCGAGGTGCATCTTCAGCTTAAGAGTATAGAGCATACCGGCGCGTACGAAAAAGTCGACGCAGTGCTCCGATGAAGCTCAAAAATAAGGTTATGGTCATTGAGTACAGCAAACTCAAAAACACTACCATCAACTCGCTCGAGAACAATCGGTCATCACCGTAAAACTCTAAAGCGCCAAGTCGAATATGCAATTGCAATTGCAACTTGCAAGTCTAATTGCTTGGTTCAGGGACAGAACATCCGCGTACGAGTGTCTCGCCGCGAGACGCGTGGTCTGGCGGGAAAGAGCGGAGCGAACAACCGAGAATGGTAAGGCCGGTGCGATAAAGTGCCATAATGTACCACCGGAGCAATTTCACGGCACCAAGGACGGGGCTTGAAATATCTCTTATGAAATAGCCTTACGTGGGGAGACTCTCCCTGCTCCTTGTAGGGTAAGGACTCCCTACTAAGGAGCCTTACGGTGAGGAGCCTAGTGACACCTTACCTCACTCCTACCCCGCAAATCGTAAGAATGTAAAAGTGCCTTGCAACGAAACCGTAAGGTACCTCACAATTGTTGCTCCTTATGAGGGCTTGTGAAATAGCCTCCTAACGATGCGGGAAAATTATAGCGTTGTGTGTGTTCTCCTGAAGATCGGGAGTTAGGATCTGATGCGAGAGATATAGTGGCAGCAAGTAGTCTATTACAAAGAATTTCGTAAAACGATAAGGGATTACTTAAATAGGACTTTCATACTGCAGCGAGCATTCGCTGTAGATCACACGTTGACTGGAGAGTATATTGTGTATGTGTGACATAAGAAGCGAGCCATGGAAACAGGTTTATAAGAATTCCTGAAAGGTATTGAAATCGCTATACTCCTACTGAGGTGCTAATCGTCTTTGAAACATCCCTTGTATCCCAAAGCCATAAGGTCCAGCAGGTAATGGACCTTAGCCGGTAGCTTAGCTACCTTAGCCGGCTACCTACGGCTACCTTAGCAGGTAGCCGAGACACAGATATGGACTGCGACTTCACGAGAGAGTACCGAATCACATGATGAACATTTCACAATCATACGACCAAGAGAGTGAGGTTAAATATCTTCATTGAGATAGAAAAATCGTCAATCGCAAAAACGGT